TTCTTCACCATTCGTTTGTCCAATACCAGGAATGGATAAACACGAAGTTGACCACCTGCAGTAACTTCTGCTGGATCTCGAGAGGTAACTATCTTGTTCTCAATCTTCTTCTTTAGTAAACTAATATGGAAAACATGGTGTATTTTGAACTGTCAGGCAATTGCAATTTGTAAGCCACTGAACCAATTCTTTCAATGACTTTGTAGGGTCTATAATACCTTGCAGACAACTTCAAATTTTTTCGAATGGCTACCGAGGTTTGTCTATAAGGCTGTAACTTGAGGTAAACTTCATCCCCAACCTGGAACTCTCTATCACTTCTCTTTTTATCAGCATAATATTTCATGTGTTGCTGTGCCCTGTCTAGCTGGTCTTGTAGAACAGTATTCATATTATCCCTTTATTGTAATAATTGTTGTACATCTGCCACTCTAGAGTCTGTTAGCCATGTCATAGTAGGGGGAATATATCTATACAAAGCTGTGAACGGAGTTGTTCCCAAAGCAGTATGGAAACTTGTATTATACCACCATTCAGCTAGTGATAACCACTTACTCCAATTAGTAGGCTTCAGAAAACACATCCCACGCAAATATTGTTCCAAACACTGATTTAATCTCTCTGTTTGACCATCAGTTTCTGGATGATAAGCTGTAGTGAATAGGGCAGTAGTTCCTAGGAGCTTCATTAATTCTGTCAAAAAAAGACTGGTAAAGATCTTGTCTCTATCAGATAGAGCTATCCTTGGTTGCCCATGTAGTTTATAAATCTGGTCCAAATATATTTTAGCTACATCTGCTGCAGTAAAGGGATGCACCAAGGGTAGGAAATGTGCATACTTGGTAAACTTGTCAATAATGACCAGAATGCAATTATACCTGTTAGAAGTAGGGAGACCTTCAATAAAGTCCATTGTAACAAATTCCCAAGCTTGTTGGGGAATTGAAAGAGGTTGTAATAGTCCTGGTTTCAACACATGTTCATCCTTAATTCTTTGGCAGATATCACACTACTGCACATAGCTTTTAACCATGTTTTTTATCCCTTTCGAGTAAAAATAAGATTTCACCATGTGGTATGTAGCTTGTATACCTGAATGACCCCCTTGGGGTGAGTCATGTAAAGCTTGTAGAATTTGTTGTCTTAAAGAACCAGTCTTCCCAATATAGACCTTACCCTTATACCTTAGGATATTTTTGGAATAGGACCAGTCTACTGCATCTTGGCTGGAGATAGCTAACTTAGTAACTATTTCTGCCACCAAGGAATCATTTTGATAATTCTGTTCAACCTCTTGAACCCAAGTAGGAATTACAACAGTAGCATTTATTTGTTGTAATTCTACTTCCTCCTCATCTCTTCTGGATAATGCATCTGCTGCCAAATTGTGTCTGCCCTTCTTGTACTGAATAACATAATCCAGCCCCAATAATTTTGTAAGCCCTTTTTTTTGTATTGAAGTAGTTAGCTTTTGTTCCAGCAAGTCCTTAAGAGCTTCATGATTGTTTTATTAATAAATGACCCCCCTTCTAAGTAATGCCTCCATTTAGAAATGGCCATGAGTATGGCTAGGTACTCCTTTTCATAAATGGATAAATCCACTTGTTTAGGTCCCAATGCTCTGCTTAAATAAGCCACTGGTCTGCCTTCTTGAGACAAAACTGCTCCTATTCCTCTATAACTTACATCTGTCTCCAAACAAAAACTTTTGTTGAAATTAGGTAGTGCTAGGACAGGAGCTTGACACATTGCCTTCTTTAAAAGTTCAAAAGTAGTTATACTTTTCTCTGTCCATTAAAACTGTTTTTTTAGCATAGTAGTCAAAGGCTTGGCAATCTCTCCATATCCTTTTATAAATCTTCTGTAATACCCTGTCAAACCAAGGAAACCCCTTAAGGATTTAAGTGTTTTTGGCAGCTTCCACTGTTGCATTGCCTGTATTTTTTCTAGGTCAGTAGCCACCCCCTGCTTAGATATAATGTAACCCAAATACTCCACCTCCTTTTGTCCAAAAAAACATTTTGTTCTTTTAGCAAACAACTGATTCTGCTTGAGGACTTTCAAAATAGTCCTAAGATGCATGACATGGCTCTTTAGGTCAGAACTATAGATGAGTATGTCATCAAAAAAAACCAATACAAATTTCCTTAAGTAAGGGTCAAACAACTTGTTCATTAGTGCTTGAAAAGTGGTTGGGGCATTTGTTAACCCAAAAGGCATAACCTTAAACTCAAAGTGGCCATGATGAGTCCTAAAGGCTATTTTAGGGATGTCATCAGGAGTGATTCTGATATGCCAATACCCTGATCTTAAATCCAGTTTAGAGAAATAGGCTGCTCCAGTCAACTCATCCAACAAATCTTCCAATACAGGAATTGGAAATTTGTTTTTTATAGTTAAGGCATTCAATTGCCTATAATATATACACATCCTCCAACTCCCATCCTTCTTCTTTACTAACAAAAAAGGGGAAGAAAATGGTCTTTTACTTGTCTGAATTATGGAGGAGGACAATATTTCCTTAATTTGTTTTTCCACTTCAGATTTATGATGATAGGGCATTCTGTAGGGTCTAATGTTCACTGCTTTTGTACCCTCTTTTAATGTAATAGAATGATCATGTTCTCTTGAAGGTGGCATCCCTCTTGGTTCCTCAAAAACAGCTGAATACTCATCCAATAAACTCTGTAATTCAACAGGTACCATATTAGTACTAACTTCCCCACTTAGCATAAAAATTTATCCTGATATATCACTGTTCTTTCCCATTAATTTCTGCAATTTACTGTCTGATATCATCTTGACAGTAGGTGAATTATGTCTTCCTCTTAAAATAACCTCTTCCCCATCTTTTTGAAAGCTCAAGGTCATGTGATTGAAGTCCATCAGTAGTGGACTATACCTTTTCATCCAATCCACTCCTAGAACCATATCACTTCCTTCTAGAGTTAAAACTCTGAAGTCATGTTTTAACTTTTTACTCATGGCTGAACTATACAACTTTTCACCATTAGCAACTGTAATGGTCAAAGGATGAGTTTGCCTTAATTCCACTCCTTCTTTGGACCATTGACCAGTTATGAAGCTGTGTGTACTTCCACTGTCTATGAGAATGTTTAAAGGTTTTCCAGATATGTGCCCTTGAATCCTCAATGTATTGTGGCCTGTCTGGCCTGTTATAGCATTAATGGAAATTTTTAACTCTTCTTCTACAGGGTCTGTTGCCATAGCCTCATTATTCCATGTTTCCATATTTTCAAACTCTCATGTATCTTCTAACTCCTCCATTAAATTTAACTGCTTGACCTTACATTGGTGTCCTGGACTGAATTTCTCTCCACATTTGTAACATAGTCCATGTGTCCTCCTATATTCCACTAACGGTTGTTTACTCTGGTTCAAATTCTGAGCAGTTGTTTTTTGTGACTGATTCAGGGTATTGTGAGGAACCTTATAGTTGAGATTTTGTCTTGTAGATATTACTCTAGGCTGAAATCTCAGTTTCCTGTTTTCCACTTCCAAAGTCAATTCAACCAATTTAGCCAATCTAAAAGCAGTGGCTAAAGTTGTGGGATTATGAATTTTAACCATGTGCTTAATTTCTTCTTTCAACCTACTAAGGAAACTAGAAATAAAATACCCTTCCTCCAAGAATGGACTATGACAAATATCATTACAGTTGAACTCTTCCATAATATCATTACAGTTCTGATCACAGAATGCCAATTCACCTTATGTTTTTGAGCTATATAGCCATCAAACCAGGTCTCAGCCTTCCCTGTTAAATACATTATAGCTAATTCTACCTTCTGAACTTCAGGAACTCTAAAAATTGAAAAGTACTTCCGACATTTTTTAACCCAGCTTCTAGGATTTGTTCCATCAAACATTTAAAGTTCTATTTTTGGTCTGAAAATATAGCTGGACTGAACATCTTCCCCATTGGATGATCCTCCCATTTCCATGGTTTTTTCCCCATTTTCAAATTTTGCACATCAAAAGTAGCAGGAGGTTGATTTTCACAATGTGGAGAAATATTAACAGGCTTAGATGCTAATATTCCAGGTTCATCAGTCTTAAAAGTGTACTTATCATGCTCACTAAGAACAATAACTAAGCATGGATGCCTACCTTCATTTTTATTTTACTGTGCAGCTGCTGGTGGTTGACCATTTTCTAATCGAGGAGAATCTTTTTTCTCAGATGCCTGGTTGATCAGCTGTAGGATTCTCTGTAAGTAGCCCCTGTTTTCAGTCATTCCCTCTTCCAATATCTTTTTCATTCCTTCCAGCTTTGTTTTCTGCCCAGCCCACCAAGATGGTAAGGTTTCCTCATCCTTAACCTCTGTTGATTGTTCTGGTACCTCTATGGTTCCAGTTTTTTGCATCTTTTTTGTCTTACCCAGCGTATAAATTTGTTTGGGATCAATAAACTCAGCTCTGATTACCAATTGTCAGGTTTATACCTGAAATGGTGAGAAAGGATTGAAGGAATAGAGAAGGAAATTAGGTTTACAGAAAGAAGTTCACTATTTTCATTCATAAAAATCTCATTTTTCCATTACATTCCATATATATGGCTCAGCTTGTTCAATTATTTAGTTACAGCTGTAATATTCTTCTAACAAAATAACCGTTACTTGTCCAGTTCAGCTATGGCCCGTTTCCACTCTTATCTGTTGACTTCCTGCAGCCCACTTACCAACCTCAACCCAGATGCCCTTACCCATCATCCCTTGCTCACGCTCATATCAGATGAAACATTAGGTAAATTCGAAATCCCTAAATCATTTCTCAATTTTCTTTTTTTCTCATCACTAATCCCCAATTCTTACTCCCCAATCCCTAATTTTCCTTCCAGAGTCATGACACATTATTTTCTGTTCACACGATAGTAAGTGGACCCAGGTGAAAAACAATCGAACGGTCAAGATTTATAGAAGAGGGGAGGAAAGAGGTGGGAGTAATCAAATCTAACGGCAGAGAGATTCGCGTCAATTTAAAGCCAGGGGGCCTAAGCGCCGAGACCCTGAAAAAGCCCTCTTATAAAACCCTTGCTATAGCCGTCTCTCCCAAATCACTGCGTTTCCGTCTCTCCTTCTCTCTGATTTCCTCAAACGCTAGATTTCGTTTGTTCGAGTTTCGTTACCGATGGTGAATCCCTCGCCCTTTCTCTGTGATATATATATATTTTTTATTTTGTCTTGAAATCTGAATGGTAATCTATAGTTTTCATTTTCTTTTTGATATTTATTTTCTTGCTTCTTTGTGGTTTAGGCTTTGCCGAATCAGCAGACTGTTGATTATCCTAGCTTCAAGCTCGTCATCGTCGGTGATGGAGGCACTGGTAATTACTGTTTCTCTAGGCTCTTAGATTGATTTCTAACTACTTTTGTACGATTATATTAGATTTTTCTTCCGTTTTTACTGTTCCAATAGTGTTTAATCAGTTTCATTTACCCTTTTTTCACTTATTAAGTAGATATATGCGAATGGTTTAAATCTAGGAAGCATGAATACCATCACTATATATTGCTATGAAGATGGCATCTAGATATGAGAATTTTTATAAGATTAAGATATGTGGTTCTGCGGGATAGGGTATTTTTTTTAAATTAAATTTCAACATGTAATTAACTTTTCAATTTTTTAAAATTAATTTTGAGTTTAAAAACTTTCATAAAAAAATCCCATTAGAACCGAGATACTCATTGTTTGTGAAATAATATAGAGAAAATCGGGGATAAGAAGATACACCTTCTAATTGAAGTGCCCGTTCGAATATGTTATATCAATCTGATTTTGAAGTGTACAATTTTTATATTATGATGAGGTATAGATTTCACTTTTTTATTTGTGAAATTTGTGATTCATTGGAAAGAAAATTGTACTATGGAATATTTACCGTGAAATGTTATGGTTTTACCTTTGGCTTTTGTTGCAGTCATGTGTTATTGATTAAGAATGAACTTGATTGTGTTTTGATGTGTTTTAGGAAAGACCACATTTGTGAAGAGACATCTGACTGGCGAGTTTGAAAAGAAATATGAGCGTATGTGATGACAATGTTTTGAGAATAATTTCTGTTTGATTAGTTTATGACGGGTTTTAACTTGCTTGCTTTTTCTTTTAATTGTGCAGCAACAATCGGTGTGGAGGTTCACCCTTTGGACTTCTTCACTAACTGTGGAAAAATCCGATTTTACTGCTGGGATACTGCAGGACAGGAAAAATTCGGTGGTCTCCGTGATGGTTACTAGTAAGTATTTAATTATGGGGTTCCCGTAATGAGTATTCTGTTGGTTATTCATCATGGTACCATTATTGTGCTCTTTATTATTATTATCATCTATAATTGCTAATGAGTATTGCTGGTAAATATCTATAAGCACTGTCATATTAACATGACAAAGAAATTCCTTTCAGCTAATGCTCAAAGATTGTGTTTCTATGGCTCTTTATGGATTAACCAAAATTGTTGTGTTTTCATTCTTTGTCACTTTGTTGCTATTGCTATTATTGTTTATTTATTTAGTGTTTTTTGTATTGTGTTTTGCAGCATCCATGGGCAATGTGCGATAATTATGTTTGATGTTACTGCCCGCTTGACATACAAGAATGTTCCTACATGGCACCGTGATCTTTGCAGGTATGTTGGAGTTCTCAACCTTTATCATATATGGTTTCTTTTTCGGTTGTGGAACAGCTTATAGAACTTTGTTGTCTCAAATGCCAGGGTCTGCGAGAATATTCCTATTGTTCTATGTGGTAACAAGGTTGATGTGAAGAACAGGCAAGTTAAGGCAAAGCAGGTTACATTCCATAGGAAGAAGAACCTGCAATATTATGAAATTTCGGCCAAGAGTAACTACAATTTTGAGAAGCCTTTCTTGTATCTCGCCAGGAAGCTTGCAGGGTAACTGACCTTTCCCTCTCTTGTTTTATTATGCAATGCTTTGATTGATTCCTAATAGTTGTATTTTATGATGCCTGAATGATTTTAGTGATCCTAATCTTCACTTTGTCGAGTCCCCTGCACTTGCTCCACCCGAAGTACACATCGACTTGGCTGCCCAGCAACAGTAAGTATTTCTTGCCAAAACTTATTTTGTATTCATCTTTTTGGAGTGCTGTAGTCAGGTATTCTATTTGAACTTGAAAGTGAGTATTGAGTACAAGTACAAGGACCTGCATTTGAATCAGTTTCCATTTGTGACAAATTATGACAGACATGAAGCAGAGCTTGCGGCAGCAGCGAGCCAGCCTCTTCCAGATGATGATGATGATGCATTTGAGTAAAAAAGAAGTGTTGGGGCGTTTTCACCGGCACTGCCTGATTATGTTTGGGGTCTAAACAATTTCATCTGTCTTCTTTAAAGTTTTCAATATATATATATATATATATATATATATATATATATATATATATATATATATATATATATATGGGCAGAGTTTCGTGTTTGTTAGCTATCGAGTACAGCTACTATAGACTCATCTTGTTTTTGTTTTTATGTTTTTAATTGCGTTTCGGATGGATTTTGCTTCTAGTAAAATCCATTACCTTTATGTTTTGTACATGCTTTGATTCTGATCTCACTGTGCCCAATATCATCTTGGTAACGTCATAATTCATTTAAGATTAAACCCAAAATGGCCTATAAAGGGATCAACATATTGGATATTTGGGCTGGTCGATGCATGGTTTCATGTAATGATTTTTATGAGTGTTGTTGAGACCAAATTAAATTACAAAGTTAATATAAAATATAAACCCCCAACTTCTAGTCCCTTAAACTAACAAAAAAGAGTTGTCCCAATTGGTTTCGGATAGAAGAACACTAAGGCGACCACAATGGAGCAAAAAATGTTGTTGCAATTGAATAAGCAAGCACTGTTATATGCCACATGGTTCCAACCATGAAGTGGGGGCAAATGAAAGCTGGTATTAACCATTGCCAGCATGTTTACACAAGGTGGGGTTGTGTCCAAAACGACACTGTCCTAATTTCGAATGCTTCATAAGTCACCCTAAAACTGGAACCCATTGCTCAGGCATTCGGTTAGTTAAATTCTGGGCTCGGTGGGTGGTAGGACTGCAGGCCTTTGGAATTGTGAACTGCTCTTCGTACATGTCTTCAAAAGTCGGCTTCCATTGTTATTGTCCTCACAATTGGGTTCTATTTGTCTTCCTTTCCCTTTAAATTTGACAATTCTTTCATCTTTATAACTCCTCGTTGTCTTATTTTAATTGATGTTGCTTCTATGTCTATCGAATATGCTATTTAGCTTTCATGCCTTTAGCCCTAAGGTAAGAAATCCCCCCATATCTTTTATAAACGTTGAAAGTACCTTGTTGGGACTAATTTATTTACTCCCTCTACTATTAAATATATTTATTTAGTCACTATACTAGTAGAGAAAAAATAAAGTAAAAATTTTAATACTTTAGCTTAATGACATATTCAAACTTTTGAAAAAAATTATAATGGGCAACTTAATCACCAGAAAAAATGAAATTAGTAAATCCCTGAAGCAGTTTCCGCACGTCCCGTACGTCCCAACCAGCATGCATGTGCACCACCACTGACATTCCGTCACTTCCTGAACCTATATCACCAGTATTGATCACCCTTAAACTGTCCAAGTGATTGGGATTTGGGAGTCGTGTATTCAATCAAGGACACAACTATATGTAGTCCAGGGAGGCCACTGCCCCCCCCCCCACCTCAACCACTCTTAACTCAAACTGTCCAAGTGATTGGGATTTGGGAGCCATGCATTCAATAAAGGACGGAACTATATGTACTCCAGGGAGGCCACTGCCCCCCCCCCCCCAACAACCCTTAACTCTAACTGACCAAGTGATTGGGATTTGGGAGCCATACATTCAATCAAGAACGGAACTCTATATAGTCCAGGGAGGGCACTGCCCCCCAACACACACACAACCGCCAATACAAAAACTTGGGATTTGGGAGCCCTGCATTCAATCAAGGACGGAACTATAAGTAGGCCATGAGGCCATTGGACTACATATAATTTAAGATCCAATAACTTGGGATTTGGGAGCCCTGCATTCAATCAAGGACTACATATAATTTAAGATTCAATAACTTTTAAATCTAAATCAATATTAATTAATTAAAAAATTTATCTGAAATTTTTATTTTATAATTATATATTATTTAAATTAATTATAAACTTTTTTTAATTAAAAAACATTTAATTTTTATATAAATTAGAAAATTTAAAAAAAATCAGTTAATTTGAAAATTAATCGAATTAACCGAAATTTATTCGGTTCGGTTAATATGTTTGAAAAAAAGTTTGCTTCGGTTAACGGTTAAAGAAAAAAAAAGTTTGGTTAATTCGGTTATGGTTAATTCGGTTCAGTTTTAACTGAATGAACAGCCCTATCCCCGTGTATTTGCAGAAATACATTCATAATTCCTCTCCCGGTCAACAACTTTCAATTCCGATCTACTCGCCGTCCGACCTCCGATCGATGAGCCGAAACCACCATCGTGTTCGTTGTCGAGCGAGGAATAAAACCCCTCAAACCTTTCCTCGTGAATCGTCGCCGTTCGTCGTTAATTTCAGTCGGAAGTATCGTCGGTAATAACTCGATTTCAATTGGTTTTTCGTCGATTCACGACGATCCAATGATCCATTTTCGACACCTCCCACACCATCGTGTTCCTTGCATCGTTCCGAGTCTGTCGGTGTCATCCTTGGTCTCCGTCGACGGCGGCACATGAGGAGGTGAAGTGGTCAAAGTTTTCGATTTGTTGAAATCAAGCTCTCCACATTTCAAAATTGTGAACTGAGCTTTGTAAGTATCTCAGAATCGCTCAAAATAATTTTTAAGAATTTTTCCGTGATTTTTAGGCAGCCTGCGCGTGGGGATGGTCCAAATGACTGGTTTGACCGGTTTTGGAGCACATTTGACCGGTTACAACCCGACCCGTTGACCCGTTGACCGGCATTGACCACTATTGACCAAAACTTTGACGGGCTTTGACCGGGCATTAAACGGCCTTTGACTTTGACCGAGTATACCTATCCTGACATTTTTCGACGTTCCAAATCCGATTCCGCAGTCCGTTTTTCGAAATTCGGACTCGAAAGCTTTGAAATTGACAGTCAAACCCGTTGACTTTGATTTTGACTGAAAATTTCAAATTTTCGAAAAGTCATATTTTATGCTTTCGACGTCCTGAATCTGAATCCGAAGTCCGTTTCGCCAAATTCAAAATCGGTAAGCTATTTTTCACTGATTTATCACCCGATTCGATCCGTTTATCGTAATTAAGCTTCGTTTTTGATATAATTTATGTTGATATGTATCTGAGGAATTATTGGAAGTTGAATTGAAGATCAAAGGCGTTCGAATGGAATTTTATGGTAGATCAGTTTTGCATGGAAATCGAGGTAATATTTTACTAGCTTTTTATGCTTTATGGAACATGTGAATATTGGTAAATGTATGATTAAGAAAATGTTGGTCTCATTTGTGTAGTTAATTAGTTTCTACACTCTATCTGAATACGGTAAAAGGGTTCAATAATTGATTATGGTTCATATGATTTTTATAAAAAAATTGAGAGATTGTTATAATTAAATTACAAGTTTTGTACTTAGTGATAAAGAAATCAACATGGATTTGTAACTTATAGTTTATTTCATCAAAGGTTAAATGTTAAAGGTACTTGGATGGGAAATTATGATAATACTCTGGTAGGGTAAAATTACGAAAATACCCTTAAGTTGTAAGATGTCAAGAATTGTCCCTGGAAGTTGATTAATAACTCTGAAAGGATATATTGATATGATAAAACTACAGATGTGCTTAAGAAATGCTTGATTTTGCTTACGAAATACGGATAACCGATTTTTAACCCCTAGAGGGTTTGTGCAAGATATTAGAATTCTATTAAGAAATCATTTCAAGATAAGAGAATGTTCGGGAAAGCAATTGATCATAGGATCTCTAATTTATAATTATTTTCGTTAAGAGCTAATATTGAAATTATCTAGTTAAAAAATTACGGAAATGCCCTTGAGAGGTAAAATAGTCCGAGTTAACCCTGAATGAGAAAATACTTTGAGGATTCATACTTAACTCGATTAAGTACGGATTTGATTGTTAAGATCCCGACTTAGTTTAGGAAAATTCCTGATATTCTGTTTGTAAAATCTGAGAAAACACTTGACCCATAAATATCCGAGTTATAAGTAAATACCTGAAGAATAATTTGTCGGGGTGCTCTGTTGTCAGAATTGTTCGAAAGGACTGAAATAAATGATAAGATTGAATTTAATAGTAAGATCGGACGGAAGGAAATGATAGGAATACACTGAATCTGTAAAATGACCAAAATACCCCTGTAATGTAAATGACTCAAGAATATCACTAAGCTCAGGAATTATTGAATATCCTCGAGCTCTAAAATGAATGGAATAAAATTGAACATCAAAATGACCAAAATACCCTTATGGCCTATATTAAGTAAATGTCTTGGATTAATTATGGAATCCAAATAAGCATAGGTGTTAGACTACCTTTAGAAGTTATGGAATAACTTAAGTAAGCCGATCAACCGTAATGATATGTCAGTACCTGAACGACATAGATATCAGTTGAAGGTGTATTCATCTTCTCAAGTGTGGTTCGATGATAATTTTGGAAGTACTTAGCTCAGCTCAACTCTAGATCACATTCGGTAATAAGAAATGGATATTCGTTAGACAAATCAACCACGAAGACCAAATTGAATTGAACAGAAGTACAATATGTATATGAAATTCAGAAACGTTTGGATTACCCTGGAGAACTCAGAAGTAACTGGAATGGACTTGACTACTAAATGAATTAAGTAACCTTAAGGACTATGGATTAAGTAAGTGATTTGGATGAGTCTGGAAACGTTAATGAACATACATGATGTAATGTTCTTATGGATCATGAACTACAAATCAAGCACGTCAACATTTCATGATATAGTGAAAGCGTGAAAATGAAATAAAGACATTGGAAGATCTATTCAGTGATGATTCTGAAGATGATCTATGGATAAAAAATTTTGGTATTAAAATGTAAATACCCTGGAAGGACAACGAATTGACCAGTCGATAAGTATTAGTTCTGGGAATTATTCATCTAAGAGTTGTTCGATAATCCGATCAATCGACATCGATTGTAAATATCATGAACCTTCAATTCTTCCTTATTAGCTCAAGTCTCATTCTGAATAACTAATGATTCTGTCAGTTATTGATCTCTTCCAATAGTGACTTTAAATTCCAACATTCTATCGACATACTAAAGATATGTGTTTTTCTATTTGATAAGATTATACAGCACCTCTGAATAATATCTGTAAAATCTGGTGTGTTCCCTAATTATATAAATATTTTATCTAATTTCCGACTTGAATTATGTTCTGATACATTACCTGAATTTTGTTCTGATTTCTGATCTGGATTCTATTATGATATCTGATCTGAATTCTGTTTTGATTTCTGATATCTCCGTTTACCGACGGAGAAATGTTTTATCTGGGGGGTTTATTGTTGGAGGAAGATTATCTGCAGGCTTCTCGGCTGTGTGCTCAGGGCCTTACTGGTTGTACGGGGTGTATGGTTCCGGGGAACCTACACAAACAGATTGTGAAAGGATGGGGGTGTATATATATATGTTTTAAAATAAAAATCTGTATCTTTTTACTGGTTTTATAGGAACACACTAAATAACCTATTCTGATCTCCTGAACCTAAACATCTGAAATATTTCTCTGAACTAAAAGCTCATTATCCATTACCACCTGAAATATCAGTAGGATCTCTGCTCAACATAAAGGTCTGTAATATATGGATCATTAAGGAAATATATGTTTATCTGTATCTGCACGTTCTTCAGCATCATCTGGTAGTTCTGTATTACTGAGCTTTCCGAAGCTCACTCTATTATTCAACATTGCAGGTTAAAAGAATTGTACCAGTGCAGCTATCTATTCAGTAAGGGAGTTCTTCCGACGTTGTTTGCAGAGTATGGTACATGTGATTACGGGGCATGTAATTGTATTTTGTTTTATATACGAGTCTGAAATATATGTTTTATTTTTAAATATAGACAAATGATTTTATAAGTTTACATGTTCTGATAAAAAGTTTTAAATTTTCCGCTATTTTTATAGTGGGTCGCTCTGGTGACCCTAATGTGACAACCCAGATCAGATCGGGTTACCCGCATCGGTCTGAGGGTTTACATAAGATATTATTATTTTTTGAATCACTTTGCAATGACATATTGTTGTCCTCTCAAATTTTAGCGTTATATGCGTTTTTTTTCATCTTTAGTTGATAAACCGTGACATTAATTTTGGTATTAGTCGTCGATGTCGATATATCTTGTTTTTTTTTATCTCGTATTTTTTGTTTTTTTAATAACTTTCTTTGTGATAGGTTTTTTTGCATGACTCATATTCGGTTTTCTTTATTGGTCAATATGTCTTTTTATTTATTTTTCTCATGGTTAGATTTAACATCATCATGACTACTTAAGATAACACTTATTTGTTATCATGTTGATCTTTTCTATTTTGAACTATCGAGTTGGATTTGGTTACGCAGTTTGTGTTGGTAGATAGTTTTCTCACGATGTTTGATTTTGATTTGCGTTTTTCGGTGGTCTTTCGGTAATTTGATCCACTTTTATGGTTCGTTTGTCGACACAATCAAATATGTTTGTATCTATCTTTCGTTGGAGTTTTTCTAGATAGATTTTTCACCTTTTCCTTATATGGTCATTGTATAATCTCAAATTGTTAATTTATTATATCAATGGTTGTAGAAGAATATCTTAATTATGTGTTTAATTTATGATTATAATAGTAAACTTTCGTTATAATTTGAGATTCCTTTTATTTTAAAAAAACAATGACCATGTGATTTGATCCCTTCTCTACACTTGGTGGTTTGTTTCCTCAACTTTTTTTGCATCAATTCGGAGCTTCAATGGTGAGAAAGGGCCGAATCTAAGCAATTAAAGGCTACCGTTGATTTTGCTTGAAAATATAAAGCAAAACACTGTGTCACTCCTCACATGCTTAAATATGCAGTCAATTCGCGGATTCAAAGTTTCAGTTTAATTCGTTAAGAAACACTACCGGAAGGCTCGACATCACATGGCTTTGGCTCTAATATTCTCTTACCACATCTGTTCAAGGCTTAGATACAATTCATTAGTGTCCTCAATGATAAAAGGAGAGTGTTAGTTTTTTTTTTTAGATGTTTCGGATCAAAACAATTATATTTATATATTATGTGTGTATTGTCAATAACTAAGAAAAGTTATGAACAAATATTACTTCATAATCATCTCAAATTATTAAAAAAAAATCAACGGAATCATTTTATTATTTGATTTATATTATTTTTTTATTATAAATGTAAATTTAATCTTAATATTTATAATTTTATTGAAATGGTTTTTATTTTTAAGTTACATTTATCTCTAAAAGGTATAGATAGGTTTATTCTATTCAAAATACTAACATTTTATAATTATTTTGTTTGGATAAATAATCCATGTCTATAATCTATATTTATATTTTATAATATAAAAAAGTAAGAGTGTGGAGAAACTTTTGAACCAACGAGAATAACTTTTATAGTTCAATTATATTAATCTAGAAATATTTTTGAGGGTGAATAATTTATCAATATTTTTTTAAAAAATAAATTGAAATTATATTTTCTTACTTTGAACAATTAATTTAATTTTACTTTAATAAATTATAAAAAAATCATTAGTTTTATCAAACATTATTTTCATTGTTTTGTTAAGAAAAGACCGTAAATACAACTAGAGAACTAAAAAAAAGATTGTGGATATGATATGGGGCTTGATTTTGAATAATAAATAAAATAAATAAATAATAGTGTATTATTTTTCAGTTAGATTGAGACTAGAGAAGACTAAGACTTAAAATAATATTTGATAAATTAACGAATCAGATTTGAGAAAAAGAGAATAATATGATTAGATTTAATTCGACATTAAATGAATTAATGAGAGAGATTGAGAAAGAGATGAAAAATTGAGAATTTTATGGAATTGAAAAATAAATGGACTCAATTATAAATGTAGAAAGTAAGATTAAAAAAATTATAGGCCTCAATTATAAATGCAAAAAGTGAGATTGAAAAAAATTAAAGGCATCAATTATAAATGTAAAAATTAAGATTGAAAAAATTATAAGCCTCAATTATAAAAGTATAAAGCGGGAATGAAAAAAAAAATTAAGAACATCTATTACAAAGATAGTCATTGCAATTGCATTGAGTGCTCCCCTATTAGTTGGCTCTACATCGACAAATTGTCGTAAAAGATTATCTAACTATATGATATCGTCGATTCAAATTTTTATTACGAATTTATAAAGTTCGAATCATTAAATAAAACGAAGTCGTTTTGGTCTTAAGTTAAGTAATTTTATTATGTTACGATTTGGTCCCTAATTTCTTTGTTTTTCAATTTTTTCCTCTATGTTAAGTCAAATTTGACCAATTTTGAACCACATATTTCTAAACCACTATAGAATACACACGTAACTTCAATTCATCTTTTTGACAACAAGTTTCATTTCTTAATTTAAAAATTTTGTTTAAATTTGAACTAATTCATACCATATAGTAATACATAATTATAATTAAACTTGAACAAAAGCTTGAATAACTTGTTTTGACTCAAATGTTATATATTCGACTTCAAAAATTTTTAAATAAAATTTGAATCATAAAATATGACTTGTCAACTCAACGAACTCAAACTTTTTTTTACTCGACTTAACTTGATCGAATACTCATCCATATTTATAAAATTTTTAAAAAATAAAATAATTTTCAAAAATCGTAATTAACTTTTATCAAACAATATAATCAAATTTAATATTTAATTATCAACAACTAGTTGGTCTAGTGGGATTAGACACTAGATCTCAAATTCGATGTTTGCAAATGGAGCAAACTGGATTGAGAGAGTCACCTTTGTCTCTATAATATCTAATCTGGATTAGTCTATTAATAAATTAGAAACCGGTGACTATATCAAAAAATTAGTATTTATTTTTCATTAAATCAATTAATTTTATAATATAAATTCAGTAATTATAAAATTTATATAATTTTAAAATATTTGTTTTCAAACCCAAATTAGTTACAAACAAATATATCAATTATTCAAAATTCAAACACAACCAGAATTTCACTCAAAATCATTATCATTTAACCCAAAAAAATGAGATTTATTAATATCTCTTAGTTTCTTGTTTATCAAACAAACTGTTCAAGTGTCTTTTTATAAATTAAAAAATTAACTATTAAATATTTTTCAAAGTTTTTAAATCAATAAAAAATTAATATAATTATCAAATACAACTAAGAAATTTTAATCACTTTAGAAGTTATAAGTTTGAGCAGTTACTTCTATGATACATGGTTAATAATTAAAAAATATTCTAAAAAAATATTATCTTATAATTATCCTATACTATTTAAAAAAATTGATCTTATTATTTAAGTTATTTTTTTTAAAAAAGAAATATTTAAATCGATTTTTTAAACCCCATTAAATAATATCAAAATTATATATATAAGAGAAGTATACTACTAGGAGTGTATCATCCAGAAGGAGACATAAATGAAGTGAAAAAAAACTAGAAATCAAACTCAACATGGTTTTCATGTAAGCCAAAAAAACACAAATATAAAGCTGAAGCTCTTGCTTTGCCCATATAAAAAAAAAAGATGGCGAGAGAGAGGGAGAGAGAGTCGTTGTGGAGGGAAGAAGAGATGGAGTGGGAGAGTAGCCATTACAGTTCATTCAAAGGGGTTCTTCCTTCCCTTGGAAACCGAAGTAATTGTCGAGTCAAGCCCAGGAGATTCACTGTTTCTCCTCATGATCGCCGTTACATGTAATCAAACAAAAACCTTTCTTCTTCATTTAATGCTTTGGGTTCTTTCGTTTTCCATTTTCTCAGTCTATATTAGTGGGAGATAATGATCTTTAATGCTTGTTATTGCAGGATATGGCAGAATTTTCTGGTTATTTTGGTCGTCTACACAGCTTGGGTTTCACCATTCGAGTTTGGATTCCTTCATAAACCGCACCCAGTTCTCTCTATTACCGATAACGTTGTCAATGGATTCTTTGCTCTGGATATTGTTCTCACCTTCTTTGTCGCATACATGGATAAAGCCACCTATTTATTTATCGATGACCGGAAGAAGATTGCTTGGAAGTACAGCAGATCCTGGTTGGCTTTCGACATTATATCTACCATTCCCTCCGAACTTGCTCAGAAGATTTCCCCTAAACCATTAAGCTCCTATGGCATATTCAACATGCTTCGCCTATGGCGTCTCCGCCGAGTTAGTGCCTTGTTTACAAGGTACAACAAGACTATTTCCCTTTCATCACCTTGCTTTCTAGCTTTAGATTGTTGTTGAAATATTTATACTTACTGTTGCTTTGAACAGATTGGAGAAAGACAAGAACTACAGCTACTTTTGGGTTCGGTATTCCAAACTTATTTGTGTGAGTACAAGAAGAAACAATCGAACAACTTTATCTGATAATTTATTGTTAGTAATGCAGCTCTATTGATGAAAATTTGATGGTTTTTTTTTTTAGGTTACGCTTTTTGTTGTTCATAATGCCGGATGCTTCATTTACCTTTTAGCTGCAAAATTTCACGATCCTGGAAGAACATGGATTGGAGTAGTTCTGGGAGCCGATTTCAAAGAAAAACAGACTTTGTTGAGTCGATATGTGACATCAATTTACTGGGCTATCACTACATTTACTACTGTGGGATATGGGGATATTCATCCTGTGAATACAGGGGAGATGGCATTTGATGTTTTCTACATGCTCATCAATGTCGGATTGTTTGCGTATTTGATCGGGAACATGACGAACTTGGTTGTCCATTCAGCCACCCGAACTAGATTATTTGTGAGTAAATTTTTTTAGCTTTGATGTTGGAGGTTATTTATCTGTGTGCTAATATTTTCTTGTTTGATGTTTTCGACACTTTAGAGGGAGACCCTTCGAGCCGCTTCGAGTTTTGCTCTTCGGAACCAATTGCCTCGACGCCTACAAGATCAGATGCTTGAGCATTTATATCTAAAGTACAGGACAGATTCGGAAGCGCTGCAGCAGCAAGAGACCCTCAATTCACTTCCTAAAGCCATCCGATCAAGCATTTCGAATTATCTTTTCAACTATGTCATTGAAAATGTATATTTGTTTCACGGGGTTTCTAATGACTTGCTTTTTCAGCTGGTAATCACACTAGAAACATGCTATGCTTTTGTCCTTAACTCTCTTCTTTAGTTCACATGGAACCCTTATACATCTCTGTGAATTAATGTCTTAAGGCACCGGAGATGAAAGCCGAATATTTTCCTCCAAAAGAAGATGTCATCCTGCAGAACGAAGCTCCCACGGATTTCTACATCCTTGTCACTGGTGCTGTGGTAAATACCATTATTTCTTATTTTGATTCTGCATTGCATGATTCATGCCACAGTTTATGTGTGATATCTGACTCTAGTTAAACACTCGAGAAATGGTCACTAACGTTTTGTATTGTTTCTCAGAATCTATTGGTTTCTAAAAACGGAGTTGAACAGGTAAGTCGTATCAGTCAAGTACTAGCCTTGTCGATCTGTAGTCATGAGCCTAATGTAACAGAACGCCACTCGGGTTTCAGGTTGTCAGAGAGGCAAAAGCTGGTGACATTTTCGGTGAAATAGGTGTACTTTGCTATCGGCCGCAGCTCTTTACTGTACGAACAAAACGCTTGTGCCAACTACTACGGCTAGACCGTACCACATTCCAAAATATCATTCAGGTCAATGTTGGAGATGGGACTATAATCATGAACAATCTCCTTCAGGTATATATGTTGTACAAGATGATACGACCTAACTACTAATGTATCCATGGAACCCTTTCGCATTGAAATATGCCGGATTCTTTTTTGGTGCAGCATTTGAAAGACATGAATGACCCTATTATGCAAGGCATTTTAATGGAGACGGAGAACATGCTAGCTCGAGGGAGAATGGACCTACCTCTCAATCTTCGCTTTGCCGCACTAAGAGGAGATGACTTGTTGTTGCATCAGCTATTGAAAAGAGGGCTTGATCCTAATGAGTCAGACAGCAATGGAAGAACAGCTCTGGTTTGTGAAATTGTTTTCTATTCGATATGGTCAAGACCCTAAGTTCTTAGGCCAGTGATGCTAACCTTTAACTTTTTTTGTGTGAAATTAGCATATAGCTGCATCCAAAGGAAGTGAGAACTGCATTCTTCTCTTGCTGTATTATGGTGCAGATCCTAACTTTAAAGGTAGTCTCTGGTCTCGAATTTTACACGCAGTATCCATGTATGGAACTTGGATATCTGGTTCAGATATATGATCAACACTCATCTTTGAATCCGAATAACATATTTTAAGTAATTTGTGCAGATTCAGAAGGAATTGTACCACTATGGGAGGCAATGCTTGGTGGCCATCATAAAGTAGCCAAACTACTAAATGAAAATGGGGCAAACATCAACGTTGGAGATGTAGGTCACTATGCCTGCACTGCCGCCGAGCAAAACAACTTAAGCTTGCTCAAGAAAATCATTCATTACGGCGGTGATGTCACGTGCCTGAGCCACACCGGTTATACCGCTCTTCATGCTGCAGTCTGCGAAGGCAACCTTGAAATTGTCAAGTTCCTTGTCGAGCAAGGCGCCGACGTTGATAAACCTGATTTTCATCTCTGGACACCTAGGGTTCTAGCCGAGCAACAAGGACATGAAGAAATATTGGCATTCTTTGAATTGAGTAAAGAGACGAAAACTGATCAATCTATCAAGTCCACTACAGAGAAGCCAGAGACGCTATCCCTCGGGAAGTTTGCAAGTGAGCCAGTCATCCGTCCAACAGCAACAGGATCGGACAATAATGATGGATCATTGAACCAACCATGTCGAAGACGTCATACTAATAACTTCCACAAGTCGTTATTCGGGATAATGTCAGCTGCACAACATAGGGAGAATGATTTACTGCGTCCAGTTCATCAATCCAGGGGTCTGAATAACTCAATTATTACACCAACCAGAGTTGTAATAAGTTGCCCTGAAGTGGGACAAATAACTAGAAAGCTTGTTCTTCTTCCGGGGAGCTTTGAGGAGTTGCTTGACATTGGAGCTAAGAAATTTGGGATCTTTCCTGTTAAAGTGGTGAGCAAAGAAGGAGTTGAGATTGATGAGATCGATGTGATTAGAGATGGTGATCATCTTGTTTTTCTCAACAAAGATCAATAGCACCTTAACATATGATTTTTTTTCTATTTTGATTTACAATATTAAAGTGTATAACTTTCAATTACTTTGGCGTGGTTTTATTACCTAAATATATTGTTTTTTAAAACTATCCATGACTTTAGTATTCCCAAAAAAAAAATATTTACAAAAATATCATGTACTTATGTAAATTATGATAAAATTGTGTTCTATTAGTCGAACATTCTGAAATACGTGTTTAACAAGATACATCTTACATCTCAATCACTAGATGTTTAGAATTATGTGAAAGGTGTGATTGAACAATCACGTTATTCAGAGGTTTTAATTTTGAAATTCAAATACAATAAAATTTTAAAAAGCACATAACACAAAATACGTTTTCATGCTTGGCCTTGACCCCGTGTCTTCCCTAGCCCTATAAAATCCCCTCTAACTAGGATAAACATATAAAATTTAAATTAATTAAATTTTATCTTTCATACTTAATAATCACTGGCAGTTGACAATCAACACTAAGATTAGTATCACCACCGACTAAACAAACATCAATAGAAAAGAGAAAGATGACACAAAAATATTAAAAGAAACTTAAGTTAAGAAAAAAAAACCCTTGAAAATTAATTAATAAAAATATATTAGATATGATCAAAATACAATATTATTATATTGATAAAGAAAATTAAGGTATCACAATTGATATTATCGTAAAAAAACGATATCACTAATAGATTTTACATGAGTGAGTTCCACAATGTGATGTTTATCAGTTACATATGAGATTACTTTGTTTTTAGTTGATTTTTAATATGATCGTTTTCATCAATTATTTCAATATTAACCATAATCTCTCTAATATTGTCAGTCCCAATATCATCATGTGTTGATCGGATGGATTCATTCATCAACATGTCCCAGTCGTATGATAATGAATGATATGCGCAAAATAATTATTGTGGAGATTTTTAATCAACAATTTCATTATTAATACCTTCATTCTTTAATAATTTCATAAAAATAAAATCGCGTGGAGAGTGACTTCCAAGTTTTTTATCAAGTAAATCAAATTTGATTTGTTACATGGTAGTTTTCAATCTCTTTAAAGTTGATATTGATGGTTCAATAAAGATATTCACAAGGTTTTTCAATGCTTTGATATTACAAAATTATGGCAAAATTGAATTTCTTATCATTTTTTCTTTAAAACAAAAGGGAAAAAATAATGTCTTATTCTTCGTTATTTCTCGTATTATTCATTTTTCACCTATTTCAAAATGGTTTTCTTGTTTAAATCATGAAACAACAATGACGAATATTCGAGATTAATGAGGGCTAAAATAAAATGCCAAGTAGCGAGCGGACGAGAAAGTAGTTTTGTGAAGGTGGAGTATGATGGATTTGGTCGAGATTTAGATGAAGATACTATTGATGGCTTGGGACTTAAAATAATTTGAAAATTAAGTGGTTGTATGTTAAAGATGATCTCAATGATATATATATTAATAATTTGGGACGATTATAAAAGGATAATATATGTTTATAATATAGTTTAATTATTAATAATATATACATACCTTATAGAGGTAATTGTTCAAGTTTAAGATCTTAAAAAAATAACACCCTCTTTAATCAGTTAGATCATTTGAAGATGATAGTTGAAAGTAGAGATGGGTCGAGGGAGCGGGTGAAGATAGTCGTCCCTCTGAAAATTTAAAATCACTATATATTTTAGAATTTTTACTTGTTTTATATTAAAAATCTATTTTACCCATGAAAATTTATAAATTCAACCCCTATTAAAATTTTAGAATTTCATTCATAATATAAAATTATACATCAATCCCTAATCGAAAGTGATAATAAAACTCTAAGTTATACATTAAGAAGATGGTGAAACTTTTTGCAGATGAAAATAAAGATGAAAGGAGAAAATTTTGAATCCCTAATAAATATTTGCTTTCGTATATTTACAAGTGGTTTTGTATAAATCTTAATACATTTTATAATATCTTTAATATTTTCTTTACCACTCCTTGTGATCCTATATAATTTTTGTAATTTATTTTTTTAAAAATATATATTTAAAATTATTTTTATAATTTACACTCAATTAAGTTCTTAATATAAGAGACAATACTCTATTAAGCTCTCCACATGGATAAGTTAGCCACGTCAGCAGAAATAGTAAGAGTGAATGTTAATGAAAGCGCTTAATTGATTAAATTTTCTACTATAAAGGCTTTATTATGTGCAAATTTTCCATGAGAGCTTAATTGTTTTTTTTTTTAGTTTTTTCTTTCTTTCTTAGAGCCACTTTACTATTAGACTTAATTAAAAAGTACGTCTAAAATCCAGGGGTCAAATGCCAATTTAGGGTCTAAATTGTGTATTAAGCATCTTCTAAAGTTTGATTTTATTTTTAAATTGAATCCATCAGGTGACTTCAGTAATTAAGATGAGTATTGTATTCTCTAAAGATCATAATTTCAAAGAATTACGTCTGCAAGATGTGTGCATTGTCAATAATTAATAAATATTTTGAATACTACTTGTAATCATCTTATATTATTAAAAAAATTATAAATTATAACTTTCTTCCTAAGTTTTTAATTTGTTTTTCCCCCATCAAAATGCTTTAATTTAACGTGGTATAATTTATGATTTTTTTTGGGTAAGTTATAATTTATGATTTGTAATGCAGAATGTGAAAACATTTTTAATTTAAATGTCATTAGTTTTATTAATTTGATATATTTATTACCTTTCCAAACAGTTAAATTGATGTATTTGGCACAAATATTTTTCATCATATACTGTTGCAGAGAGTTTGCTCTTTGCTTGCAACACACTTTGACAGAGAGCATCACAAAATCATTAGTTTTCTCTTATCTACCAAAGAGAAAAACCATTACAGTAATTTCTTGAGTACATTGTTTTGCCATATTTAAGAAACTTTGGACGGTCTGCAATACTTATACCATTATATTCTCCCATAAAGAGAAACATTTCATATCAAATACTGTATCACATTTTATTGTTTCCCTTCTTTTTATTTTAATTTTAAAGACGAATCGATTCAAGTGCCGAGTTAAAATCATTCTTCTTGATTTGAAGATACTCCTTCCACTTCACTGGCCGATACAGCAGCGGATGATCAGAATCGACCAACTTTCTCAACGGTGAGACCTCGGCATCCCATGGTGGCCCATAAAAGAACGCTGTCGACACACGGTGGCACGACTTATTCACTACCGCCCGATGCAACACGGACTTGAACTTCCCATTAGAGACAATTTGCATCAAATCACCAACGTTAACCACCAAGGCTCCCTTCACCGGCTCAACAGCGACCCACCCTGCACCATCTTTATGCACTTGGAGGCCATTGATGTTGCTCTGGTTTAGCAAAGTGACGAGGGACGAGTCCGTATGAGGGGCCAACCCCATGGCTCGGTCAGGGTCCGGGCAAACCGGGTAGGAGTTCAGTTGAAGCACACATTGGGTTCGGTCACACCCACTTTTGGGCTCGAACCATTTCATATCTTCTTCATGGGTTAAACCCAATGAGCTGAGCATCATTCCCACTATTTTCTCGCACAATGTTTTCATCTCCGCCTGCCATTGTTCCATCACTTCGCTGCACCAAAACCCAAAATCACCAACGAATTATGTGGGAAAAGAGAAAAAGAGGAACAGGTTTTAGGAACAGAAAATTGAAAGAATAAAAAGACAAATTGTTCGCAGACAAATGGATTATCCCATGCATCTCAGCTCAGCTGTCAGCCATTGAGGAAATGCGGTCACACAAAACCACACCATCTACAAATTGACATTTGTCCTTAATGCATGCAAAGCAGTAAAGAAAGCATTTTTCATCGACTCATCGTGCAAGTAAGAACTTCGAAACTATCTGAATTTATATATATATATATATAATACTGTATCGTAAGTGAATCAATGATGACATATTATTAGAAATACAATTAGATCAAATAAATTATTAGGTTGGAGACGTGAAAAAAGATTTTGGCATGATGTTAAGGCGAAAGTTGGCTAGCATGCAAAGTAATGCTCGTACCAGAATTTGGCATGATCTTGAGGCCAGAGTTGGCGAGCATGTTCCACTGGGGACCCCATTATGCCGAAACCCTCAGACCACATCAACTTAGGAAAGAAGGGGGAGATACGGGCCAAGCCATATCCAGTGGTTCCCGATGGTGGCCGTGCAACAAGCATCTTCCGTTCCGTGGGCAGTGAGAACAGCCGCCGAGCTTGGAACTCGGTTTCGTGAAACAAACTCAAGGGAACACCATGGTTTATGACTTGAAACGCTCCCCATTTCTCACAAGCATGTCTTACAAGGTTATACGCACCTGGCTCGCCAATATCGATGACGGGCGGCAATGGTTCACCGTCATCAATCGCGTGGTCAGATGGATTGTCCGAAGGCAAAGTTGTTGTCGACCATGCATGAGAATTGGGCAGCGTAGTCACATTGTCGAAATCTAACGGAAGGAGGTGGTTGAAGGTTTGGGTTTTGGGCTTCATGTTGGGATTCATATGAAAGAAAAAAAATATGAGAATTTGGGAGTGAGTGAAGATTGTTTTGTAAGAATCTGACATATATATAGACAGTCCTCTATGACTGTTGTTGTCTTGCTTGAACTTTGTCTACATGGTAAGTTCACCCTACAAATGTATGGATGAGGGTGACAATAAAGAACAGTGACCAGAATGCATTACATATACTAATTTTTGCTCTTCGAATTTAGTGGATGTTATCTAGTAATTAATTGAATTAATAAATAAATCATAAAGATGGGGTAAAATTAATTAGGTATAACAAAAAAATCCAATCTTTAATATTTTATACCATTTATTAATTAAAATTTTAATTTTTAACTAAATTTAGTCTTGATATTTTTTTAAAAAATCAAATAATTTTTTATAACAAAAATGATTATTAAAGTATTAAATTTTTAATTGCCTTGATGTGGCATCCATGCATACGTTATGTTAATGTGTCGTTAACAAATAATTTTAAAATAAAAAAAATTAAAATAAAAAAATTAACATGAAGTACATGTGGAGTATCATGGACGTTGTTATGTTAACACTATTGAAATCAAATGTTTTAATCAGAGATTTAGTTAGAAAAATAATAATAATTTGACTCTTTTTAAAAGGTTGAATATCAAAATCAACTTTCTATTTTGAATAGTTACATATCAAATATTGTGAAAGAACAATTAAAAAAAATATTGTGAAAGAGAACATTCATTTCATGGGTGACTGGGTGAGGATTGATAGGATTATGCAACAACCTAATCCAAATTTCAAATGTTATATATTTTTATTTTAGTAATTATCTATAATTTTATCATTGTGTTTGCGTTTGATTAAATATTTGTTACACAGTAATAAACTTTGTTGTGTACAAGTATGCTTATTGTAGGGATGGTAGAATGACTCGAACCCAAAGGGAAAATTCAAAACCTGATCAAGTTCGGGTCGGGTCGGGTTTGAATATTATCGGGTCGGTATCGATGTTTTTTTCGGGTCGGGTTCGGGGACGGGGCAAGGTATCCCCGCCCCGCCCCGATTATATATATATATAATATAATATTTTATATTAATTATATATATAATATTTTATATTTTTTTATATTAATTATATATATATATAATATTTTATATATTTTATATTAATTATATATATAATATTTTCGGGTTCAGGTTTGAGAATAATATTTCAGGTCGGATTCGAGGACGGGGCAAAAAAAATCTCTGACGGGGATCGGGATGGGGATTTCGGGTTCGGGGACGGGGTGAGCAAAACCCGGCCCGAACCCGCCCTGTTACCATTCTTAGTTTATTGTCATTAATGAAATGGGAAATGAACAATGGATATTCATTGTTAATTCTTCTTCTATATGGTATCAAACGCTTATCTAGTTTAGGTTTCGATCCCAATGGCAATCCCCAAAAAGGAGATTCAGTAGTTTCACCATGAACTAAACTATAAGCAACGATTTGGAGAACAGTGTCGATGGAGAACAGTGTCGAGACTTCTTCCAGTATAGGTAAATTGGAGGTCAAATTTCTTTTAAGTTTTCATTAATACACGTGGCGTTAAATTATTGGTGGAGAATGCAAAGGAGCACGTAAAAGGGACCAGAAGATTTTTGTTCAATTTATTTTGTATAATGAAAAGATGTCATACGACTCAAGAAGCGTCGTTGATCGATCAATGAAAACTAAATCTTGTCATAATGAAGTGGGAAACAAATTTGACAACGAGTCAAACGCTCCTCCGCCATTGATTTTCGCATTGGCTTTCGAAAAAGAAACCTTTAATTAAAATATATGAGATATGTTTGAGAATTTTCTTTTTGTTGCACCGTTCAATCTTCTGAGTCTTAGGCTTCTATTGAGAAACTATCACAATATCGAACATAGTTGAATATCTTAGGCCTTTGCTCAGTGCTTTGAATATCCAAAGCTCTTTAAAGTTTCTTATTTACTAGTTATTATTTGTTTAATGTATTATTTTGTCATATTTAAGAAGCTTTGGACGGTCTGTAATACTTGAACCATTTTATTCTCTCATAAAAAAGAAACATTTCATATCGACTTCTGCATGACTGCATCACATTTTACTATCTCCCTGTTTTTTTGTTTTAAGGTCAAAGGCGAATCGACTCGAACGCCGAGCTAAAATCATTCTTCTTGATTTGAAGATACTCCTTCCAAATCACTGGACGATACAATGGCGGATGATCAGAATCGACCAACTTTCTCAATGGTGAGACCTCGACATCCCATGGCTGCCCATAAAAGAACGCAGTCGAGACGCACGGTGGCACGTCTTATTCACAACCGCCCGATGCAACACGGACGTGAACTTCCCATTGGAGACAATGTGCATCAAATCACCAACATTAACCACCAAGGCTCCCTCAACCGGCTCAACAGCGACCCACCCTGCACCATCTTTATACACTTGGAGGTTGTTGGAAGCGTAGGTGGACACTCGATAATTTATATAACTCGAAATATTATTAATTCGAGGTAAAATACGTTACAACGATATTATCCCAATATTACAATACTACAACACTATAACACTAGTTGCGACTAGTTTACAAACACAATCTCGATATTCTAACATTTGCTAAGCTTTACCTTCTCTCTCTAATAGCTTTGCTAAACTATTTTTCATTCTGGCTTTTCTAAGCTTTCATTTTTTCTCACTTATATTACATTTAAAACTAATCTACATACATATTTATAGGTGTAGTAACCGACTTATTTTCAGCTCTGTGGATACTTCTCAATTTCTCTCTGCCACCTTAATACTTGCTTGCCTGATTAAATTCCATGCAATTTTGACTTTTCAAAGTCCATTCTTATTTGATAATAATTGCTTGCGGCTAACTTATCCCTTTTATGGGACCACCTTAATATGTTTAATAATTAACCATGTGCATATTGCCAAAAACTTTTCAACTTTGCTTATTTCTATATTTGTTAATTCTTTGTTGCTGCCACGTTTCATGTCACCATTCTACCGTCTTTGACTTTCCAAAGTCTTTTGTTACCAAGTTGAGTTTGATTTCTAACGCTCCCCCTCAAACTCGACTTTCCATTCCGAGCTTTTCTCCACTTGTCATCTCCAATCGATTCTTATTTCTTGGCAAGTGCACGCTGCTGCGGCTACGTATTCTTTTTTACTTTTTCTACACCTTTGAGAGATTTTTGCAAACTCTTTCACGTTTGTTTTGCGATCTTCGCATCATAAATTTTTTCAAAGGTAGATTCGTTTACTCCTTGAAAAATAAAGAAAAACGCTCTTTTATCTTTTTTTTCCGAGATTTCTTCAATACCTTCTTTTCTTTATTGGTCAGGGCTGCTTCTGCATTTTCAGGCTCGATGTAACCATCCTCAATGATATCCCAACAATATTGAGAGCCTAGTAACACCTTCATTTGAATGCTCCAATTGCCATAATTCGTCTTTGTTAATTTTGGGATTTGAGGTTGAATCATGTTGGTCATCTTCTCCACCACGTTAAACTCGAACCAAGCTCTGAGGCCACTTGTTGGAAGCATAGGTGGGCACTCGATAATTTATATAACTCGAAATATTATTAATACGAGGTAAAATACGTTACAATGATATTACCCCCAATATTACAATACCACAACACTATAACACTAGTTGCGACTAGTTTACAAACAAACCTCGATATTATAAGCTTTGCTAAGCTTCTGTTGAAAACCAAGATAAAAGGATACTAAACATAAATGCATATCTCATTATTTGCAATACACCAGCTGGTGTTATATACAAGTTTGCACAGCTGAGCTGGTTGTAACTGCACAGCAGTTTTAACAACCTTAACCAACTTCTAACAACAACATAACATCCTGCTAACAATGCTAACTATCTCACGCAAACATTCACACTTAATATTATAATATTCTCCCTACTTTCTCAATCTTCTTGATGAAAAGATGAACATTTGAATCGAAAGTGTTGATGCTTCCTTCCGTTCATTTGAATCGAAAGTACCGATGCTTCCTTCCGTTCTTCTTGAATCGAAAGTGTCGATGCTTCCTTCCGTTCACTTTAATCGAAAGTGCCAATGCTTCCTTTCATTCTTCTTATTCACCTTCATCTCTTTCTTCTTCATCCTCTTATACAATGATCCTTGACAGACTTTTTTAGTAAAAACGAGCATTTATTTTCTGAACAAAGTGTAAAATCATGTTTAGATCAAGTATTCTCCCACAAAAAAAAAATTAAAAAACAAAACCAACGGCAGTAGTTTCCGGTGTAGAAATTGGCTTGAATTTTCCTCTAGATTTCATTAACGAAAGCCTTCTGAGGGCCAACCACACGGAACCCATTCCAATACAGCAAATGGACCAGCTTAAGAAAAATGGTCGGTTTTTGTTCTTCCCATACAAAAAACATAACTGGAAGCTCCCTCAACAATTGACCACTCGCAACATATCTCTTGCCGAGGACAAGGTCACAGTCGATGTCATTGCAATGGACATTTTCCACTAAACTACCATGGTGATATGTAATATGACCACTGAACCGCAGATTGACAGTTTTGTGGCGAGGATTCCATCCACCACCTCTCCGGCCTCCGCTGCTATTCGGATGCGGCTAAAGAAGTCGTCGCTGGAGTCAATGAGGACGTGGTTCTTGCACACACGGCATAGAAAGAGACGATTCTACTCATTCAACGCACAACTATTGATGTCTGGCGACGCCTCTTTGACTTGTGTGATAAGAGATCTTATGCATTTTTCTCCTTTGCGCATTGCCCTGAGCTTACAGTGGAGGCTCATCACAGTCATAGTGGATTGGTTAGCAAAAAACTTGAGAACTGTACGCCAAACTGATGTTACCGGCTCAGCACCTACAAACTGAGGAAGGAGATATGAACTAATCGTGGAAGGGAACCAATAAGCAAGAAAATATCTTGTGCTACAAAAATTTCATGATCTTCATTCAAGATCTGATTTCCTGGTTCATCAATAACAGTTGTCGGTTGTGGTTGAACGTCTCCGGTGAGAAATCAATCTAACCGATGGCTCTGAACTGTCAACAACACTTGTTTCCAGAGAAGGAAGTTAATCTCATCAAGAGCTATAATCACCTTGTTGGTGAAGGTTTTTCCAAATCTTGAAAATTTCATATAGTGCTCTGATCAGCACAACCGATATTCATTAAGATGATGAGGAAAAATAGATCTAGAGATAGTATCAGAAAAACAAGAAAAAACTTCCCAGAAACTATGGCTCTGATACCATGTTGAAAACCAAGATAAAAGGATACTAAACAGAAATGCGTATCTCATTATTTGCAATACACCAGCTGGTGTTATATACAAGTTTGCATAGCTGAGCTGGCTGTAACTGCACAACAGTTTTAACAACTTTAACCAACTTCTAACAACAGCATAACAGCCTGCTAACAATGTTAATTATCTCACGCAAACATTCACACTTAATATTCTAATAGCTTCTGTAACATCCCAAACTAGGGGTTAGTGGCTAAATTATAAAGTTTAAGAATTTGATGAATTAAGTAGAAAAATGGAATAATTCGATGATTTATTTGGAAATAATTCCTAAAAGTTGTTAGTAATTATTAAAGTAGATGAAGGGCAAAATGGTCATTGAACAAAGATAATATTAAATATTAATAAATGGGTATTATAATATATGAGAGGTATGATTGAAGAGATAAGTTTTAGACTTATCTTCTTCATCTCCATCTTCTCTCAAACGTGAAGAGCCAGCTTGCAAAGGTGAGTTTCTTTGTTAGTTGGTTATTTGCTAAATTTATGGTTGGGTTTTTATCATTAGATAATAACTAAGCTTAACGAAAGCTTAGGTTATCTTAAGATTGAAAGATAAAGAAGTTATGAAAGATTAAAGAAAATGGGTTTTTAAAGGAAAATTTGGAAAAGAGTTAATAAGAGATTTTTAAGATGGAATTTGACTTGTCATCAAGAAGAATAAGATATTTCTGAAGTTAGAAAAGATTTATAACAAATTTAAAAGTTTAGTAAGATTCTTAATTTTAAGAATCTTGATGAAATATGGAAGATAAATATGATTTATATGGACATAAGTTGGTTTCAATAATGATAGTTGAGTTTAAAGTCATAATAGGGGATTAAAATAGAAGAATTGAATGAAGAATTGATGAATTTCGGGCTTGAAATGCAATTTCTGGACAAGGTGCATCGATGCACATTCATAAGTGCATCGATGCATTCCTTTAAAAGAAGAACATCGAATGCCTTTGATGCATCGATGCATAGATAATGCATCGATGCATCCTTTTAAAATAAAAACATCGAATGCATTTTATGCACCGATGCACAAGTAGTGCATCGATGCATACCTTCATTGAAAGAGGAAATGGGCTTTTCTCTTAGCCTAAGAAGTGACAGTTTAGAATATATTAATTGGAATATTGATATGAATCTGTGTATTGTTGTAGAGATAGAAAGTGATCCGTTTCAGGACAATTGAGGAATTAGAATCGAATCAAAGCAAAGCTAAGGTGAGTGCAATTATTTTGTACTTATTTTATTGAATTAACATTGGCTTGTGATGAGCCAGTGATGGAGTTACTATGGTAAGAAGTAACTTCTAAATTGTTATGTGATTACCATGTATGCATTAATACATAGAAATAGATGGATGCTATGTTATATGATTTATATGCTTAAGTGAAAATGCAACATATGATATGTTATTTGACATGACATGCATGGTTACATGAAAAAAAAGCTATGTGACTACATGTATATGTGAAAGAAGCTATAAGCTTATATGCACATGTGATATACGTGATATGAATTACATGAAATGATTTACATGAATACATGTATATATAATACATGTGATATGATATGAGATATATGGTTACACATACATGTGATATGTGACAGAATAGAAAGAACAAGTGATACGAAATGTATAAATAAATGCCCATAGTATATGATACGAGAGCTATAGGTATAGTTGGCATGCCAAGAGTCGAGGGTTTTACCTATGTCTTTCGAGACATATGGACAGTATACCTATGTTCTAAGGAACATATGGACAGTTTACCTAGGTTCTTTGGGACCTATGGACAGTTGCCAAGGTTCTTTATGACCTCTGGATAGTTACCGGGGTCTGTGTGACCTCTGGATAGGTCCTTCGGGACATTTATACGAGCTGTGGTGACAGCATTAGTGCACAACCTCAATGTACTCACATACCTCTATTCTCAATAATATACATGGGCAATGAAATTGAAAGACAAATGAAAGTGAAAGTGATAAAAGAAGGTAAGTTGCATGTGTGCATGACCTGATTGTATATTGTTATCATACCATAGATTCATGCATATTGATATGTAGTGATTCAATGATATGAATGCACATATATGAATTATATGTGTTATATGATGAGTATATGGTAAGTGGAAAGGATTATTGATAGTGTTTGTATATGTATGTCTTTTATTTATATGATATGATATATGGTTATATTATATGTTTTATATGACTCACTAAGTCTATGACTTAGCGTGTAAGTGATTTACACGTAGGTACCAAGAATGAGAAGTGAAAGAATAGAAGTGGCAAAGACAGTATCACTACTAAAAGATCAGATCAGAAGTATTTGACAAAGTATGTATTGGTTATGTATAAGTGTTGGCATGTAATAAGTCATTAAGTACGAGCACTCTGATCAAGTCTGTATTTTGTTTTAAATAAAGTTTTAAATTTCCCGGGATTTTTCTTAAGAGTCAAGATTTGAAAAGTCAATGTGACACGTCAGACTCGTATCCGGGTCGGGTACGGGTTGGGGGTGTTACATTTAATGGTATCAGAGCTACGGTTTAGCCGATTCTAGGCTAAAAACGAAGTCAAAAGTGTTTTAAAAAGTATACATGCCAACGAAATAGTGAAAACTTCTGATCTGATAGAAAGTAAGTATATTGTTTTGCTAATAGAATGATATGATTGTATTTTATTAGATGTCTGGACAAGACAACTCCCGAGATGTAGCGAGAAATGATATATTAGCTGAAGGTAGTAATTCACCTGCCCTGGCCAGGCAAGGTGAAGGACAGACACTTTCTGGAGTGCCTGTGCAAGACCAAGACGTTTTCTTTAGAACGTTAGACGCGGTGTTGATGCGTTTCCAATCTCCTGCTCCTTCCACTCCGAGAAGGAATATAGCAAAAGATTTAAAAGGATTAGGAGCTCCTGAATTCAAAGGTGAAGTTGAGGAGAGTCCTGTTGAAGCGGACTTTTGGCTCAATGACGTAAAGATTATGCTAGATGGACTTCATTGTCTGATATGGAAAAGTTAGACGGAGTAGTCTCCTTGCTTCGTGGACAAGCGAGAATATGGTGGACGAACGTTACTCTAAGAATGACAAGTGACCAAGTGACCTGGTTCTTGTTTTTAGAAGAGTTCAAACACAAGTATATAAGAGACCAGTTCAAGCAAATGAACAAGAATTCTTGAATCTGAAGCAATTGGATCACACTATATATGAATATGAGTGTGAATTCAATAAGTTGAGTCGTTTTGCGGCTGAGTTAGTTCCAATAGAAAAAGATGCATGCGAATGGTTTGTGGAGGGCTTACGCCCGATATTAAAGGAGATGTTGATTGTGTTAAATCTGTCCTCGTTTCAAGAGGTAGTGAATCGTGCAAAAGCTCTTGAAAGAGCTCAGAATGAACGTTATGGGGATCAAAGAGTTCAATCTTTTAAAAGAATGAGGCCTTCATCGAGTTTAGTATCACCCAAAAGAAGTAGAGATTCTGGTTTTCGATCTCAAGCACGGTCAGAGTCGATGACATCCTCCGCTAGAGGATCAAGTCAGATGAGAGATAGACAGACTCAATTTGTAGAGTCTGGTGATAGAAGAGCACAATTGAGACATTGTCAGAATTGTGGAAGATATCATGGTGGGATATGTAGAATTAAATCTGGAGCTTGTTTCCGATGTGGGGAAATAGGACATTTCATGAGAGATTGTCCATTGAAGGACAGAGAGCTTGTACAATCAGAACGATCTGTTTTGATGTCTCAAAGGTAGGGGTAGAGGTAGAGAAAGAAATCAAACAGAATCTTTTACTCAACAAGAGATGCGCTCCACTGCTAGAATATAATCTTAATGATAATGAAGACTGTGAGGACCCAGAATTATTAGCAGGTATCTTTCGGTTGTATAGTAAATGCGTTATGATATTGGTTGATTTAGGCTAGCATAATTACATTTGAACAGTAAATTGATGAGAGAAGTACTAATTTTAGTTATGAGTTAATTGTAGTAGTTTTATTGATATAAACCCATTAAGGTATAATGTTCAGGTAAATAAGATTTGTGGTTACTTGAGTGGATTAAATAGCGTATGAGAACATGAGAAAATATATGGTTTAGTTATGCTATAAGGAAATCTTGATAATGAGGAATAAATAGAGAAAGATATGAGAATGATAGAGTTTAAAGAATCAAGTAGGATAAGTGTTATAAGTGGTGTTAGATTATTATAGCATGAGTGAAAGAGATATGTAGTGAGTAATTAAAGAGGACTGTATAAGGATTGCTTCATATTGTTATAAAGTGAAAATTCGAGGCCGAATTTCTTAAGGGGGAGAATTGTAACATCCCAAACTAGGGGTTAGTGGCTAATTATAAAGTTTAAGAATTTGATGAATTAAGTAGAAGAATGGAATAATTCGATGATTTATTTGGAAATAATTCCTAAAAGTTGTTAGTAATTATTAAAGTAGATGAAGGGCAAATGGTCATTGAACAAAGATAATATTAAATATTAATAAATGGGTATTATAATATATGAGAGGTATGATTGAAGAGATAAGTTTTAGACTTATCTTCTTCATCTTCATCTTCTCTCAAACGTGAAGAGCCAGCTTGCAAAGGTGAGTTTCTTTGTTAGTTGGTTATTTGCTAAATTTATGGTTGGGTTTTGATTATTAGATAATAAAGCTTAAGGAAAGCTTAGGTTATCTTAAGATTGAAAGATAAAGAAGTTATGAAAGATTAAAGAAAATGGGTTTTTAAAGGAAATTTTGGAAAGAGTTAATAAGAGATTTTAAGATGGAATTTGACTTGTCATCAAGAAGAATAAGAGATTTATGAAGTTAGAAAAGATTTATAACAAATTTGAAAGTTTAGTAAGATTCTTAATTTTAAGAATCTTGATGAAATATGGAAGATAAATATGATTTATATGGACATAAGTTGGTTTCAATAATGATAGTTGAGTTTAAAGTCATAATAGGGGATTAAAATAGAAGAATTGAATGAAGAATTGATGAATTTCAGGCTTGAAATGCAATTTCTGGACAAGGTGCATCGATGCACATTCATAAGTGCATCGATGCATTCCTTTAAAAGAAGAACATCGAATGCCTTTGATGCATCGATGCATAGATAATGCATCGATGCATCCTTTTAAAATAAAAACATCGAATGCATTTTATGCACCGATGCACAAGTAGTGCATCGATGCATACCTTCATTGAAAGAGGAAATGGGCTTTCTCTTAGCCTAAGAAGTGACAGTTTAGAATATATCAATTGGAATATTGATATGAATCTGTGTATTGTTATGTAGAGATAGAAAGTGATCCGTTTCAGGACAATTGAGGAATTAGAATCGAATCAAAGCAAAGCTAAGGTGAGTGCAATTTATTTTGTACTTATTTTATTGAATTAACATTGGCTTGTGATGAGCCAGTGATGGAGTTTACTATGGTAAGAAGTAACTTCTAAATTGTTATGTGATTACCATGTATGCATTAATACATAGAAATAGATGGATGCTATGTTATATGATTTATATGCTTAAGTGAAATGCAACATATGATATATGTTATTTGACATGACATGCATGGTTACATGAAAGAAAGCTATGTGACTACATGTATATGTGAAAGAAGCTATAAGCTTATGCACATGTGATATACGTGATATGAATTACATGAAATGATTTACATGAATACATGTATATATAATACATGTGATATGATATGAGATATATGGTTACATACATGATGTGATATGATAGAAGAGAAAGAACAAGTGATACAAAATGTATAAATAAATGCCCATAGTATATGATACGAGAGCTATAGGTATAGTTGGCATGCCAAGAGTCGAGGGTTTTACCTATGTCTTTCGAGACATATGGACATATACCTATGTTCTAAGGAACATATGGACAGTTTACCTAGGTTCTTTGGGACCTATGGACAGTTGCCGAGGTTCTTTATGACCTCTGGATAGTTACCGGGGTCTGTGTGACTCTGGATAGGTCCTTCGGGACATTTATACGAGCTGTGGTGAGCATTAGTGCACAACCTCAATGTACTCACATACCTCTATTCTCAATAATATACATGGGCAATGAAATTGAAAGACAAATGAAAGTGAAAGTGATAAAGAAGGTAAGTTGCATGTGTGCATGACCTGATTGTATATTGTTATCATACCATAGATTCATGCATATTGATATGTAGTGATTCAATGATATGAATGCACATACATGAATTATATGTGTTATATGATGAGTATATGGTAAGTGGAAAGGATTATTGATAGTGTTTGTATATGTATGTCTTTTATTTATATGAAATGATATATGGTTATATTATATGTTTTATATGCCTCACTAAGTCTATGACTTAGCGTGTAAGTGATTTACACGTAGGTACCAAGAACGAGAAGTGAAAGAATAGAAGTGGCAAAGACAGTATCACTACTAAAAGATCAGATCAGAAGTATTTGACAAAGTATGTATTTGGTTATGTATAAAGTGTTGGCATGTAATAAGTCATTAAGTACGAGCACTCTAATAAAGTCTGTATTTTGTTTTAAATAAAGTTTTAAATTTCCCGGGATTTTTCTTAAGAGTCAAGATTTGAAAAGTCAATGTGACACGTCGGACTCGTATCCGGGTCGGGTACGGGTTGGGGGTGTTACAGCTTCACCCTCTCTCTCTAATAGCTTTGCTAAGCTATTTTTCATTCTGGCTTTTCTAACCTTTCATTTTTTTCTCACTTATATTACATTTAAAACTAATCTACATACATATTTATAGGTGTAGTAACCGACTTATTTTTAACTTTGTGGATATTTCTCAATTTCTCTCTACCGCCTTAATACTTGCTTGTCTTGATTAAATTCCCTGCAATTTTGATTTTTCAAAGTCCATTCTTATTTGATAAGAATTGCTTGCTGCTAACTTATCCCTTTTATGGGACCACCTTAATATGCTTAATAATTAAGCATGTGCATATTGCCAAAAACTTTTCAACTTTGCTTATTTCTATATTTGTTAATTCTTTGTTGCTGTCACGTTTCATGTCACCATTCTACCGCCTTTGACTTTTTAAAGTCTTTTGTTGCCAAGTTGAGTTTAATTTCTAACAGAGGTCACTGATGTTTCTCTGGTTTAGCAAAGTGATGAGGGACGAGTCCGTATGAGGGGCCAACCCCATGGCTCGGTCAAGGTCCGGGCAAACCTGGTAGGAATTCAGTTGAAGCACACATGGGGTTCCGTCACACCCATTTTTGGGCTCGAACCATTTCATATCTTCTTCATTGGTTAAGCCCAATGAGGCGAGCATTATTCCCACTACTTTCTCGCACGATGTTTTCATCTCCGCTTGCCATTGTTCCATCACCTCGCTGCACCAATACCCAAAATCACCAACGAATTATACTGGAAAAGAGACAGAAAGAGGAACAGAAAATTGAAAGAATAAAAAGACAAATTATTCGCAGACAAATGGATTATCCCATGCATCTCAGCTGTCAGCCATGGAGGAGATGTGGTCACAAAAAACCACACCACAAATTGACATTTGTGCTTAATGCATGCGAAGCAGTGAAGAAAGCATTTTTCATCGACTCATTGACCAAGTAAGAACTTCTAATCTATCTGAGTTTGTTTCATTATATAGTTATTTGATTGAGATGTAATTTTTATATATAACGAATGATATATAAATGATAAAATATCATTAAAAATAAAGTTACATCGAATAAAATATTTAATCTATAGTAATGGGATTGGAGATGTGAAAAAAGGATTTGGCATATGATATTGAGGCGAAAGTTGGCTAGCATGCAAAGTAACGCTCGTACCAGAATTTGGCATGATCTTGGGGCCAGAGTTGGCGAGCATGTTCCACTGGGGATCCCATCATGCCGAAGCCCTCAGACCACATCAACTTTGGAATGAAGGGGGAAATACGAGTCAAGCAATATCCGGTGGCTCCCGATGGTGGCCGTGCAACAAGCTGCTTCCATTCCATGGGCAGCGAGAACAGCCGCCGAGCTTGGAAATCAGTTTCACGAAACAAACTCAAGGGAACGCCATGGTTGATGGCTTGAAATGCTCCCTATTTCTCACAAGCATGTCTTATGAGGGCATACGCACCCGGCTCGCCAATATCGATGATGGGCGGCAATGGTTCACCGTCATTGATTGTGTGGGGACACGGATCGCCTGAAGGAGAAGTTGTTGTCGACCATGCATGAGAGTCGGGCAGTGTAGAGACATTGTCGAAATCTAACGGAAGGAGGTAGTTGAAGGTTTGGATTTGGGTATTCATGGTGGGATTCATATGAAATTAAGAAAAAAAATGAGAATTTGGGAGTGGGTGAAGATTGTTTTGTAAGGATCTGACGTATATAGAGAGTTCTCTATGACTGTTGTCTACTATGGTAAGTTCAACCTACTTTGGTAAGTGGAAACCCTGCAAATGTATGGAGGAGGGTGACAATAAAGAATAATGACCAGAATTTGTTAAATATACACTAATTTTTGCTATTACAATTTGCTAGATAATTAATTGAATTAGACATATAAATGGGGTAAAATTAATCAGCCACTATACTATATAGCAGCCAAAATTAACCTTATTTTGAAACTATCTACTGGAATCCCATCTTACAATATTATTTGTTTAGGATCGAAATACTTAATTTATATATGTTTACATATGTATTCCAACCATCAAAACCAATTGCCGTCGACCTTATTCATTATCCGAAAATTGTGTTTTTCGACACTTAATTTATATAAGTTTAAAACAACTTGATTTTACACTAGTATAAATAAATCACTCCCTTCGCAGGATATATCAAATAATCGGAAAACATTTAGTTGTTATTATTATTTCATTTTAGTTTAAATAAATCAAACCAAAGTCTTTAAGCCTTTAAACTACATAGGCTTTAAGTCTTTTAGATTCCGTTAACTACCACCTAAACATTTTAGGCCTTAGCCTTATAGTGAAGGAACCAAAAAAGAGGACTAATTTACCGATAAAAAAATGAAAATGAAATTTAATGATATGTTCAATCGAGTCGAAATATATATATATATATCTTAAATCTGAATCGACAAAAATTTCTAACTAATGCTTTAATTTAGCCCTTGAAAAGAAAAAAACACCAATGCTTCATTTAACTAACGTCTATTTAAGTTTTTAGCTCTCTTGTTTTCGTCGTGGTTTGTCTGCTCTGTAATTTTCTTTTGCAATCATTATAAGATATGACCAAACTGCTGATGAATAAACGGAAACAAAATAGTGATGAGCAACTTTAGGTTAAAGAAGGCCAAAAGTAATATACAAATCCTGCCAAATAAGAAAAATTTATCCTAAACTAGCCACACTCTAACTGGTAAAAGTCCATAATGTAGGGCTATCGACTTTCAAAAGCTGGACCACCTTCATGGAAACAGCCCATAATATATGTATATATAAATCCGAAAAAAAAATACTCGATCGATACTACACACAGCCATGAGATTACTACTGCCTCCATGAGATTACTACTGCCTCTTCACTCTTCTGCCATGATTCAGAGACTTGGATTTCTATGCTCTTTCAGCAGAAATTTGATCCACGTTACCGAACTTTTGGCATACTTAGGCCTCCACTGGGTCCTCCCTCTCACAATCTCGCCCCGTCCTCAAGTTGGAGCAAGTGCTGGCAACTAATTTCACCAAAATTTCCGGTGTTTTCCACATCGGACTCAGAGACAGCAGTTAGCGAGTGCAGCACGCTGTCCCTCCCACACTCCCTCCTATACTCCAGAGTCATGGCACAAAGCTCGTGACTCTCCAGGATCGGCAATGGTGCACTCTGCAAGTATTAACTTCCGGTTAAAATGCATGTAAACACCAAACATATAAATGGCTTAATTCATGAAGATTCGAAGAAAAACAAAATGCAATTTCATATTAGCTATTGATTCCAAGGAAATTTCAATCGAAATTAAGGGACATCGGTAATTAGAACTAGCCAAGCAAAGTCTTCAGCACATAATTTGTTTTTATCAGTAACTGCAACGTTAGACACTTATCAGGAATGCTATGGTAAAACAGTTTTTCTGTTTTACAACCAAAAATTTCTGCTCTTTAGAAGCCAAGGTAAAATAGTTAAGCATAGCCAGGTTCAGACTTTCTAGGCTGAAGCAAGTTCCAGCTCAGCATCAGATGTTAAGATATATAAAACTAAATTGTTATGATTTCGGTTCAACTGTTATCACCGGATAGAAGACATAAGGGAGAGCAGACTCAAAAGAAAATCCTTAAAATGTAACTGGAGGGAGTCTACCTCAAGGATCCAGCCAATGTACTTCACATTATTCACATGCTGGTTGACATCCAAGTCACTCCATTTAGGCTGCAAACGAGAAACAAAAAGTTCATTATGAAAGCAACGAATGAACAGAAAGATAATTATAAGTGTGGAATGCCATAACCATACAGAAGAAGAGAGATGGGAGTTGCAAGGACTTACAGTTAAACCTTTGCACAAATATTCAGCCGATCTGTCATCAAGTTTTACTAGTTTCTGGCTATTCTCAGCCAGAACGGGACCAGAATTCATAAACAATGGTTCTATTTCTCCACGAACCTCTTCTGGAATTTTAGATAACCTTCTAGTCAGCTTATTCATCATCACCCACACACTGCAGCTCACCAAAACCAAAACAGAGGGGAACCAGATAAGTCACTCATGAAACACCATTGAAGAATGTGCAACCAAACCAAATATATATATATATGGGGTGGGGGGATGGGGGTTCAATGTGTCCAGGGAAACCAAAATATCAACTCAAGTATCTATTGAAAACACATTAAATGCTAGCAAAAATATTTTACAGTTCAGTTATTTCATATTTTTGCTATTCCTACATTTTTCTTGTGAGAAGAGCAAACAACAGATTACGACACGAAGAAATGCAAAAGGTTGTGGTCCTATTATAAAGAATGCCCCACCTCGTGGCTCTTGTTAATATTTCACCAGTTTCGCTATTGCTGACAAGCCAATCTCTTCGCCCCATTCTTCCCAGATGCACTGGCCCAAGTGTCTACTTGAACAACATCACCCCTACATGACAGACATAAATAAGTTCAATGTTCATTAATATAAAATTCTTCTATAAAATTAATAGAAAATTCAAACTACTCCTAATACATCCAGAACTAATAACTTTTGTGACATATAAGAAAGAATGATGCTAAATAAAATTCAGTCGCTCAAGAGAATGAGTTGGAATAGACAAGCATAACTTCTTCATGCTTACATTTTTCTTTTACAACCCCCAATACAAAGGTAACACCAGTAAAGTGACCTTTTAGTTTAAAAACAACATAGATTCACATTTTTAAGGGAACAAACATGAAGAGGTGAGATGTAACACAGATTATTAGTGTAATACAGAATATTAACATTCACATTATTGAATATAGTCGGATGGAACGAACAAATCAGTCCACAAGAGTCTATGTATATATTGCCAAAATTCAAGAACTAAACTAGTTAGTGACGACACATGCCAGATGCCTTAGGCTCTGCTTGGTATGAAGGATAGGAAGAAGTTAGGATGGAAAATTTATTAATCTAATAGTTAAGCTACAAAGTAGCAAAGTGATCATGAATCTTAAATCATTTGATTAACAAATTTTCCATACTCACCCCTTCATCCTTCATATCAAACAAAGCCTTAATGACATCGCATTGCATACTGTATCAACATAACATCACGATGCTATAAAACAACCATACAGGTAGAGCAAAAGTGGCTTATTATGAAGTGTTTCTAAGAGCAAACCATGTGCAAGAAAGTGTCTTACCAAGTAGGATAGCGATCAATCACAACTTGCATCCGCGTGACAACCCATATTAGGTTCTTCTTGCTCATCTGAGGGGTTGCACCGAAACCCTCTCCAAGCAATCCAGCACTTCTACAATGATTTATAGCTGTTTCCTACAAAAAAATGAGATATTAACAAAATTTCAGGCTTGTGCAATATCTCTACATAAAAAAAATTATAAAAAAATGAATATAAATTTTGGTTATCAATGTTAGTTCTTCAAACATTCTAGCCAAATAACTATAACTCTACCTGTAAATGATTCATTAATGTCTCTATGGATGCTGATCGATCAGCACCTATCTCATATGATCTAATCGAGAAGTTCTGGCAGAAAATAAGACCATCTCGAACAATCTTCCCTATGCCAAATGGATCAATGACCATGTCAGGCCGCCTTGGCTTCCAATCAAGCATCAACCGCTGCTTCTCGGCAGCCAAGAAAATGGTTGTGATAGCAGCAAGAAGCATGCTCCAATCAGGCAACTGGTTGATGAACGTTCTGGGAGGAGAACTCACACCAACATTGTTCTTGAAACTTTCCACAGGAGTCTTCACAACTGTGGAACCATTTATTTTTGGATGGGCTTGAGCATTTGCCTTGACTTGCAAGCTTCCTGAAGAAGACAATGGTTTCGACTTGATGCTTTCGAGGCTAGTAGATCCACCTCCAAGCTTCTTGTTTTTTTGATTCAGAAGAGTCCGGAGAATAAGTGACTGGAAAAAATGACGATGTAGCAGCAGTGGCAACCATGATTTTATAAATTAAAATAGAAGTATAGAACTTCTTTCTTCTGCTGAAATCCCTTCTTTTTGCAAAATGCAAGCTTTTTAGACTAGCATCTACTACTAGGACGGACTTCATATAGGAGGGTGAACTTATAAAATTTTATATATATGGGAGAATTTATAAAATTTTAGTGGGGGAGAAAATATATTTTCAATATAAAATACAAAGAAAATATATAAAAATATATAGGAATTTTAAATTTTTAAGAGGGGCAAATATCTGGTACTGGTACACATGAACAAACTGTATAACATGTATAATGTATTAAAGAATCAGAACATTTCCAAAAGACACATTAACAATAAATATAGGGACAAAAGTCTTCAGATTTTGACTATAATGAAGATTACATATTCAATATTTTAAAAGCAGGTTCCACCTTTTTTTTCAAAAAAAAAAGATATATATATATATATATATATAATTACAGTACTTAAACAGAGAGCTGCTGTAAATATGCCACTGAATAAATAATTAAATCAGCGACGACGAAAATGTGTCGCAAAACAGCAATGGAATCGCTAGAAAAACCGATTTTAAAAAAGAAAAACAGTTATCAAATTTGCTATAAGTTACAAGACATAATGGAACATTCTCCTAGCAATCTTTGCACTTTCACCATTCCATGAGAAAATTACAATAAAAGAAATCGAGAACAAAAACGATAACTTAAACGGCATTTGGTTGCCGAGAAAATGAGAGAAAATATTAGATCTCCTATGGCCGCCACCATCATTCAAAACCTTTTGAGAAAACAATAAAATAAGATATCCACAACTTCTCATTTCCTTTCTAGGCAACATTTCAACAACAACAAAAAACTCGGGTCAAACTAAAACTTAGAAATTTGTTGAGAAAAGAAAATTTCCACGTCCGTACCTCAACGAAGAAAATTTGAATCAATTAGGGAGAAATTTCCCTGAGAAAATGCAAATTGCGTTAAAATGATCATACCTATCTAAGGCTCGTGATCAACTACTGTTAGGCTGTTTCCCCCCTAACACTTTGATTCACTCTCCTTCCTTTTGTTTCTTTGTCTTTTTCTCAAAAAAAAAACTGTTTTTCTAAATTAAAATAAATAATATAAAAATAGATCAACTATGCTGATAGTTTGTCATAATTTTTATCTGTCTGATCTTGGTTATTAATAAAAAAATGATTTTGATCTTATATTATGATATTTTTATTTTAGCCCTTCGATCATTAATTTTAGTTAATCAATTAACATAAGTGTAAGTTGACAATTAATTTTTTTTATTAACTAAGTTGACAATTAAAAAATAAAAGAAAATCACTTTTTTTTTCTTCTTCTCATTCTCCTCCTCCTTCAACCAAAAAAAAGCGGCCGTACGTCGTACCTTCAACATATCCACCCTAGGGAGTAGGGACAAAACCCCACCGACCAATATCATAGAAACAGCCTCTCCGGTGATCCCCAGGCACGTTTGCCTCTTTACATAGCCATGGCTCATGCCAGCCTCGCGTTTACCATTGTAGACACTTATTTTCGTCCGAATTTATTTTTTCTATATTTATATAATAATATAATATAATTTTTGAAAATGTTTTTTTTAAAAAAATATATATATTATATAGTTTCGAAAACATTTCGAAAATATATATATTATATAGTTTTTGAAAAATTTTGAAAACATATATAATGTATAATTTTTGAAAATACTTTTGAAAATATATAATATATAGTTTTAAAATCATTTTGAAAATATATATATAATATATAGTTTTGAAAACATTTTTTGAAATCTTATATAATATTTTTAAATTATTTTTGAAAACTATATAATATATAGTTTTGTAAATTTTTTAAGAATATAATATATAGTTTTAAAAAAATATTTTTAAAATATATATATTATATAGTTTATATTATATTATTATTATTTTCGTTTCATTTTATTCATTTCATTTAATTTAATCGTTTTTTTTTGTCCAGATCCAGTCCAACAAGTCTCAGTTCGGTTTGGAAGGCCTGAACCAGCCTAGTAAGCGTTAGGGTTTGGAACCCTAAAAATGATGCCAGTCAATACGCCGCATGGGGGAGTCAAGGGGACACGCATGGCCAACAGTCAACACCGAAACGGCCGGCCGGGATCCCGGGACTGACCCATCCCGAGATAGCCGGTCAACCACGAACCCATAACCCCGAAATATCCGGGATTGTCCCATAAATCACCGAAAATAGCCTCCCAGCGGGCTATATAAATACCAGAGGAGAACGGTATCAAGGGGGGAGAACACAACCATCATCATCGAGAGAGAGTCACAACACAAGAACGAAAACCGAGAGCCATAAAATACCAACAACCAACACACACACCACTATCATCGTCGAACCATGCAACCAAAATAACAGAAAACCAAAAACTCTTCAAATCGAGCCACAACGACCATAAAACTACAAGAAATAACCAATACAGTCGAAGCGAAGTTAAACCCAAAATAAAGGAAACAAAGCAACACAAAGATCAACCGCGGTGTTGAGGGAATAGCCACCGGAAGTCTGAAAGTCGTCGGCTTTAGAAGGTAAAACCCGAAGGTTGAGACATAGATCTACGTCGTTCAAAGCATTTTTAGGGGTTTTTGCTTTTCGATTTGGGTGGAGAGAGCTGAAAGGGAGTGTTTGGGTGTTTCGGCCACCGCCAGCGGTGGTCGACAGCAACGGCGCGATAGTCGGGCGGTGGCCGACAGGCAACTAGAGAGTGGAGAGCGTTTGAGAGAGATGATATCTTTGAGAATGAGAGAAATGAACTGAACATTGGTCTTTTGGACCTTTTATATACGGGGGACCATTGTGCAATTATAGGATTGTTAAACTCTCTCCGCCATCCCTAAGAGTTTGAATCGGTTTACAATCCGGTCACTACATGCAATTTGGCCTTTGGATTTTCGAGTTATTCAATTTGGTCACCGTTTATGCTTTTTGCATTTTGCAAATTAACCCTCTGATTTCTGGTTACTTCAATTCGATCATTTTTTTATATATTTTGTTTTGTTTTGTTTTGTTTTGTTTTATTTTACTTTTGCTTGTTTTATTAATGTTATGTATATATCATTTTTTCTCGTTTTTAAGTTTCAATTTTGTTATTATGTATATATTTTATTTTATTTTACTATTTTTCATTTTGGCTTTTTTATTATTTGTTCTTCTATTTTTCTTTTTGGTTTTTCTATTTGTTTTTTACATTTTTATATACATTTCTTATTTTTTTTAGAATATATATATTATCTTTACTTTTTTCCTTTTTATCTTATTTTTGTTCACGTTTGTCTATTTTAACTCCATTACTTTTTCCTTTGTTTTTTTATTTTGTTTTTGTTTATTGTTTTTTTTGTATGTTTTATTTTTGTTTATTTTATCATTCTATTTATTTTGTTTATTTCTCTTTACTTTATCATTTTTTTATTTTTTATGTTGTTTATTTATTTCGTATTTATGCATTTTTCATCTTAAGTTGATTTTGCACTTCTTTACAAATCTAACAATTTCATCTTTTTAAGGGTCTTCGTTCAATCGATCAAAGGTAAGTAATTTGAATTGGGTTTTTAAATTTCAATTTAAATTTTTAATTTTCGCCATTAAAGACAATCGGTAAATTAATTGGTACCGAAAGGGCGGTTCAAGGGTGCTAATCCTTCCTTGACCGTAACCGACTCTCGAGCCCAACATATTTCTGGTACAACGCAGATCAGGTAAGATGGTGTCCGACCCACCTAAATTCATTTTAAAGTGGTCGGTGGCGACTCCAACCCAATTATTTCAAGTCGAAGCCCAGTTCCGGGGCCCAACCGAAAGACGGTTGCGACAACCATATTCATTTTATATGCTATTCGCAAGCTCTTGCAAGAGTATCCTAGTCCAATCCAGTGAGCAATCTTGTGTTCGATTCCTTTGAGAGGTATACAAGAGACCCTTGTTGGGTTTTGGACCCATATTCATTATCTCCTTGCTGCTGATCTTTCTGCCTTGGTTCGCAACCATACCTACAGCTATAGTGTTACTGCTGGAAAGTGGATACGTACTAGCCGTCACCTTTTCCATTGTTCACATTCTGCTTATGGATTATGGTGCCCCTTAAATTCAAGTGAGTATACCCGGTTACAGCGTGTATCTTACGGTGCTTAGCATCATCGGTGGAATGACATTCTGCTTATGTGACTTTCATGTATGCATATATTGTTCGAATTTTGAAATGGATGTCTCCTTTCGACAGGGAGCGATTATGGGACCGTTGATCACGACGTTCGTGATTATGTTGAAAGATCTGTATGTCGAATTTGTTCTCGAAGAACCATAGAAGAAGAAGTAGTAGTGAAGAACACCACCATCTACTTCAGTTCAAAAGGTTTGCTCCCATTGGAGAGAGGTTATGTACATTAGCACCGCTGGTTTCCGAAAATTTCACATTACAATTCTTTGCAATCCATTGTTATGTCTTCTCTGGTGAAGAAGGAAAAAAACAAATGGAAAATGTAGACCTACTCTAGTGAAGAAGAGTTAAGTTGTATGACTTGTATCTATGTAATCATCTTTACATCGGTGATATATTCCTTATCAATATTAAGAGTGTCACTGCAAATCCATTGTACAACTTTCGGTATTCACATTGGAATTTACATGTATATTATTTGGTTATGGAGGTATGGTAGGAATTTTAATTTGAAATTTGAATGAGTTGTTTAACTGCTATGAAAATAGCTGGTCCATTGTCCAACACATTAAATCCTTTGGCAAGGTTTTGTCTTTTCATTTTGCCGATTTGGATTTTTCAGTTAGTTTTTAGGTAAAAGTATACGATAAATATGGCCTTTTTAGATAGTTTACCCTCGATTTTACATATCCGTGAATGGCCCCTTACATTTAATTTACGGTCCGCAACCTTCTATAGTTTCCATCCCACCAATTCATCCATCTTCCCCTTCTAAGCTTAGCCGTCAGTCCTCAAATGGCTTGCTGCTGCAAACTCCCCATCTCATATTTCCGGGCCGCCGCCAAATCCCGCTACCCTTTCCCCAACTGTTCAATATCCGCATTTCCGCCCATTTACTCTCCTTTCAATCACCCAATGAAACCCTTCAATCCTAGTTCTCTCTCAGCTTCAACAACCGCCGCTGCTCCACCCACTTTCTCTTGGGACGACGTCGTTCGCGTCTCTCTACCCGAGTACAACCCCCTCGATGCTTCCGATCTCCGAGGCTTCTTCGATAAAATCGAAGCTTGTAACCGTGGCGCTGTAAGCATCTCTCTCATTCTTCCTTCGAAAGAATTTGAATTGGGAACAACCTCAAAACCACTAGATGTCACTTTAACTGATTGGGCTAAGCTATGAGTTTAACTTCCTAATTCTATATAAAACTTTCCGGGCAATCAAACAGAAAAGAATTATGGTCGTTTTGATTGTTTGTAATTACAGGAATTGCAATATGAGTTCCTTCCTTTTGTTATCGAAGACCAAGTTGTTGGTTACATACATAAAAGGTGAAGTTTTTACCCCTTTGGCCTTTAATAATTAATAATTACATTCAGCAAATGGCTTAATCATGTTTTAGGCATCTTTGTATGCGTGTTAATATGAATTAAAAGATTGTGTTAGCCAAGCTAATTTGATTACTTCTTTAATTAATCTGCAGTTTTGCTGAAAATTTAAGAAAATTTGAGGACGTTTTTATATTATCTGAAGATAAGTCTGATGGAGGTAATGTAAGGCTGCATCGATCATTACAACTGGCCGATGATCGAACTAGAGCTGTTGAAGAAGTGATCAAATGCTTGGCTGAAAATAAACTGATTCCGGGTATAAGGAATGAGGTACTGCTTGAAATTGAATGCAAGGAATAAGAAGTTGATTCATTAAATGTTGTCTTCGTTTTATGCGCATTTTCAGTTTTCAAATGCTGGAATCAATAGCTGTTTTCTTTTTAGGAGTTCCCAATGCCTATTTTCAGGTTTAATCAATCAAAGCTCCTTGGGATTTACATTTTGTGTAAGTGTTTTATTCAATGGATGCCTTTTATTAATGATGTTAAACAGCTATATCCTGTGACATCATCGTATGGCGCCCCAGTTTTTTTCTCCATTGAGCGTGCTGCCGCACCTTATTTTGGAATAAAGGTGTGTTTATGACTGAGCTTTTGTACAGGATCACTTTCTTGTTTTCCCTTATAAATTTGTGTATTAGAATACTATCTTCAATTACTGAAACTTTGCAAGAATTAGAAGCTGAAATGTTTTCTTTTCTTTTTTCAAATCATAGGCTTATGGCGTTCACATGAATGGCTATGTTGAAAAAGACGGGCAAAAATTTCTATGGGTGGGGAAGAGGAGTCCAGTGAAACCTACTTTTCCTGGCATGCTTGATCACCTAGTTGCTGGAGGACTGGTTTGTAAAAACTTACTTCTTTACTGGGTTTTACTAGAACAGTTAACATTCATTACTTATCCGTGAAACAACAAACCAATACATAATGAGGAAAAATTTTCACATTAAGGAATGATCAAACTGTCTGTAACGAAAGTCAAGAAGATGGTTTGATCTATGGAGTTTTCAATAGTTAAGAAAAGTGGGAAAATGTTTCCTTTTTCTCTATGTTTTAACACAATCTCTACAATTTGGTAACGTCTCTGATGGTGAAAAGCGAAGCAAATCATAAGCTCAGGTACATTTTCTCGTGAAAATCATGCTCAAGAGTTTGAAATTATCTTCTCTTTCCCTTACTGTCAGGTTGAAACTACTTCAGAATCAAATTACTGTCCATTTTCATTTACCACCCTTTATTCTAGTTTGTTTTACCGTCACTTAGTCAAATTTCTTTGTTGATGGTTATAGCCTCATGAAATTGCCTGTGGGGAGAATCTTATTAAGGAATGTGAAGAGGAAGCCGGAATATCAAGATCTCTAGCTAGTAGGTAATTTTTTCCATCCTCCCACTTGACTCTGTATTTCATGTTTAGTAATATATCTTGCACATCCTTTATTGGCTTGAAAATCAAACCTTGAAGGTACAATGTTGATGGCTTGATACCGTTGATTTCGATCAACATATCTATTCTCTCCATCTCTTCCCAGCATTATTGAAAGTGATAAAGTAACATCCAATTATTACTATTATAAAAAATATCATGGGAGAGAGAAAAGTAGAGAGAGAAAAGTTAAAAGGGAAAATAGATTCCGGCGAGGTCTGGAAGGCTTTTGTCGATAATCTTAGCAGGAGAGTTTCTCGGCGAGAGCTTAGGGATATTTTTTTCGTCCCATGGGACTGTGGAGAGAGTTTTCATCCCGAAAGAAACCAAAAATCCAAAATACAGATTTTCCACTTTCGCTTTTGTTCAGTTTGAGAGGGAATCTAGTTTGAAGAGGGCAATCGAGATGTTGAATGGTTCACTGATAGATGGGAGAAGGATTTCTGTTGGAGTTGCTAAATACAATGATGTTCGTCCAAGGATTGTGGTAAACAAGAGTCCAGTTAAGTTGGTTCCAGATTTGTCCACAGCAGGACCTTCTAAGTTGAAAGAGGCAGATTTATCCAGTAGGAGTGTTAGAGATGATAGAACGTACAGAGATGCTTTACTTACTGAGGTTACGAGGATGAATGCATTGGAGTATAGGGAGAAATTTTCTGAAGGGAGCCATAGGGAGAAAACTAAGAAGAATGTATTGGAAATTTATATCCCAACCGAGGGTCGGAGTTGGGTCAGAAGATCTTTAACGGGGATTATTAAGCTCTCTCTTGATTTTAAGTCAGTTTATGAGTTTTTCCTTAGTAACAGTTATGAAGTTCAGATTGCTGGTTGGGGTTATGCCCGTAATTCCTGTGCTATCATCTTCAAATCTCAAGAGGAGATGTCGGAGGCATGGACAAAGAAGAGAGGTGTAATAGGCTTCTGGTTTGACAGATTGGCCCCTTTACTGAATGAAGAAAGAGTGCCAATGGCTTTCTGCCAGCTCGAGTTATCTGGGGTACCTCTGTTATGCTGGGATGAATCTTTTTTGGTACGAGTTGCTGGGAGATGGGGGAATAACGTAAAAATTCATGAGTCCACAAAGAACAGGGATGATCTCACGTCTGCTAGAATTCTTATGAGAGTTGCTAGTCCTTTTGATGTTCCCGAATTTATTACTCTCGGCTCCTATGGTAGATCATATAGAGTCTCCATTAAAGTTGGATCACCTAGTGAAGATTCAAATCCTTTTTTTAAATTTTCTCCGGCGACCGGAACATTTGGGAAACAGTTTAGTGAGACGGGGTCTGAGGAAGGCGATTATAGGGGGAAGTCAGATTATGAGGAAAGTTCAGTCAAATCAGCTGAGACGTTCAGACAAAAGGTTGACTTGTGGATTGAAAAGGGCATGTCCTTTGGTTCAGAAGGTACTGATGGGGAAAAACATCTTCCAAGACTTACTAAACATGGGAAAAATATTAATGAAGGAGTGTCAGATGGTCAGAACGTTGGGAACATCAGAGGTGACTTTGCAGGTTTGGGTATCAGATTTTCAAAAAGTTCGGCTGATAGGCCAGAAGCCCAATCTGATGACTTTGAACTGGGTGGTTTGGAGGCTTCTAAAATAATTCCTTCTGGGCCAGCGTATACAATCAATAAATTTGGTAAATTGGTTCAGAACAGGGGAATTGCAGAAGCAAGCTGTGTCAGAAAACAATATAAGGGGTTCTGCTCTATTCCAGGTTCGTCTGGCAGTGCAGATCTGGAGGTTAATAAAACTAACTCTAAGCTGACAGTTCCTAGTTTAGAACTATCAAAGAGCTTATCAAGGGGCAGAACGAGGGTGGTGCGTAGAAGTTCCCTTTCTACAAAAAGTGAGCCTCTTCAGAGGAGGGAAATGGCTAGCTTTAGAAGAGTCTACAGAAGATGTAAGGAGAGGAATTACTGGTATGGGAATGATCAAAAAGAAAATAATGCTACAGAGGATGTGATAGGTCTAAAGAAGGCTAATGAACATGCTTATACGACGGTTCTCCAGATTACTACAACATCAGAGTCTAATTTACGGGGCAGTGAGGTTCCAAATTTAGTGGATAAAGCTGGTGCCAGGAGTTTGGTTGAAGAGTCTGAGGGTGGTGTTGAGGAAAAACATTTGTCTATCTATAATTCTGACACTTCTAAGAGAAGGGCAAGAAGAATTCTGGTTAGAGAAGCTTTAGAACATGTCAATATTTATACAGCATCTTCTTCAGGTTTCTCGAAAATCTTGGATGAAGCAGTAGCTACATGGCAAGTTAGTCAGATTCTGGGGGTTTCTTTTACACAGGGGAAGGAAGCTTTCTTGGATAAAATCATTGAGCTGGAGAAAGGTTTGAAGGTGGCAAACTGAGTTGCCATTTTGGGGAAACTAGATTATTCATCAGTTTTTATGAAGGATAAACTAGCTATAATTTCATGGAATGTCAGGGGTTTGGGAAAAAGAGAGAAACAAAGAGCAGTTCAGAGATTAGTCTCCAACTATCATCCTTCTTTTCTTTGGTTACAAGAAACTAAAACAGAAAACATCCACAGGTCTTTTTTGAGAAGGAAGGGATTGAATATTTTTCAGGGGGTTATTGAATCTCCAGCTACTGGTTCTTCAGGGGGGTTATTATTTTGTTGGGATGAAAATGTGTTTGAAATGGAAAATCACAGTATTAACAGAAGATTCATTGCGGTTATAGGGAAATTCAGATTTAATCAGTTCAGAAGTATTCTCATTAATGTTTATGGACCCTCAGTGGATGAAGAAAAAGAAAGTTTTTTTGAAGAACTGAGCGTGTTCATTATTAGACAGGATCTGCCGGTTTGTGTTGGAGGGGACTTTAATGTCTACTTGTGTGAGGATGAGAAGGTGGGCAGAGCTCATAACAGACTTTCAATGAGGATTTTCACTCAGTTTATTCAGTCAACAGGTCTAATTAATCTGCCTTTGAATGGGGGAAGGTTCACTTGGTGCAATAACCAAGATGATCCGACTTTTGTTAGGTTGGACAGGTTTTTGGTGGACGGACAATTTTTGGATGGGTTTCCCGAGATAATTCAGTCACTTATTCCTAAATCTATTTCAGACCATAATGCTATTCTTTTACAAGATGGCGGAGTTGATTGGGGGAAAAAACCTTTTAGACTATTTAATTATTTGATGGAGGAAAAAGGTTTTGAGGAAATGGTTTGTCATACTATAGCAAATTGCAAGAAGGATGGGAGAAAAGCTGGAATCCTAAGTGTTTTGAAGAAGTCTAAGGTTGCCATTAAGAATTGGACAGGGCAGAAAAATCAATTTATGGGAGCCTCAATCTCAGATTTGGAAAGGAGAATTCACAAGTTAGAGGAGGACGTTCAGATGTTGCAGGACAGCTCGGTTCAGGGGAAAATCGAGGAGTTACGTAATTGTAGATCAGAGTTGTGGAGACTCCTTAGAATTGAGGAACAGATTTGGTATCAAAATTCCAGAAAGAAGTGGATTAACGATGGGGACCGAAACACTCGATTCTTCCATACTTGCGCTTCAGTTAGAAGAAAACGTAATGCGTTGAATGCTTTGTTAATTGAGGGGAATATTACTCATGATCCAGTTGTAATTAAGGCCACTGTTAAAGAGCAGTTTTTTAATATTTTCAATAATCGGTCTACTTTGGATGTGGAAGACATTGGGTTGACGTTTCCTAGAATTTCCGTGGATCAAAACATTTTTTTAGAGAAGGAATTTTCAGAGGAGGAGGTTTGGGAGACTTTAAAGTCTTGCGATAGTAATAAAGCTCCGGCCGACGGATTGAACTTGGGATTTTTTAAAAGGTTTTGGTCTGTACTTAAAGGTAACATCATGCAGTTTTTTCACAGATTCCATAGGGGGGGAAATTGGGAACATGGTATTAACCACACCTTTATCACCCTTATTCCTAAGAGCTCTAATATTGGAAGTTTAGATGATTATAGACCTATTAGTCTAGTAGGAGATGTATACAAGATTCTTTCCAAGTGTCTGTCAAGGAGGATTAGAAGCTGTATGGGAGATATCATCAGCCAATCACAATTTGCTTTTATACCCGGTCGGCAAATTTTGGATTGCTCCCTCATTGCTAACGAGGGCATTGATTATTGGAGGAAGAAAGGGCTAAAGGGTTGTGTTTTTAAAGTAGATTTCAAAAAGGCTTATGACACGGTTGATTGGCCTATCTTATTCAAGGTGATGGAAAAAATGGGATTTGGTTCGACTTGGATTAGTTGGATCAGGAAATGTGTCTCTACTGCCTCCATTTCAGTGTTAGTCAACGGGTCTCCAACCGAGGAATTTTCGATGGCCAAGGGACTAAGACAGGGGTGTTCACTTTCACCTTTGTTATTTAATCTAGTAGGGGAGTTGTTGAATTTATTAATACTGCGGGCTGTTTCTGAAGGACTATTTTCTGGTTTGACAGTTGGCAAGGAGGAAGGGTCTTTCAAGCTCACACATTTACAGTTTGCTGATGATTTAATTATCTTCTGTGGAGCTTCGAAAACACATATTATGAATGTGAAGAGGGTGCTCAGAGTTTTTGAGGTTATGTCAGGGCTGCAACTTAACCTAAAGAAAAGCAGTTTGTTTGGGATTAATATTTCCCAAGAGGAGGTTCAGACCTGGGCAGCTTCTATTGGTTGTTCGGTTGGGAGTTTCCCCTCTAATTACCTAGGTCTCCCATTAGGGGCAACTAAGAATGCATCTTCTATTTGGGAACCGGTGGTGCAGAATTTTCATACTAAATTAGCGGGTTGGAAGGCTGCTACACTTTCATTAGCAGGGAGACTGGTTTTGATCAAATCGGTTCTGTCCTCACTGCCTACGTATTTCTTGTCTATGTTCAAGATTCCAGTTTCAATCCTTAAGGCTCTAAACTCGATCATGTCTAATTTTTTATGGGGAGGGGGAGGGGGAAATGGTTCAAAGAAGATTCACTGGGTTAAATGGGATGATGCATGTAAACCTAAGAACGAGGGTGGTCTGGGAGTCCGGAATCTGACTAGTATGAATAGAGCATTGCTAGGGAAATGGTGTTGGAGATTTGCAAATGAGAGACACTCTGTTTGGAGGAATTTTATCTGTAGCAAATACAACATTGATTCTTCAAGGTTACTGTTTGATAGCAAGGTTCCTCCTCAATCTTCTTGGCTTTGGAGATCGGTGGTTAACAATCATTACAAACAAGACTCCTTTGGCTCTAAGTTTCGAAGTTTGTGTAGTTTTTATGTTGGAAATGGTAAGCTTATTCGTTTTTGGCAAGATAGTTGGGCTGCAGATTATCCGCTTCAGTTTCTTTTTCCTAGATTGTTTTCGGTTTCTTCTAATAGATCTGGTAAACTTTGTGAGTTTGGGGAATTCCTTCTGGCTGGGTTTGGGATGTTCAGTTAGAAGAAATTTAAATGATTGGGAGGTTGAACAATGGTGTAACTTGGTGAGCTTCATCTCTCCCTATTCTTTGTCTAAAGATTCCAGTGATATTTTACTTTGGAAAGGCAGTGGGGATGGTGTTTTTTCAGTCAGTTCTTGTATTAAAAGTTGTGCTTCAGGATCATATGATGTTTGCTTCTGGAATAACATTATTTGGAGAGGTTTGGTACCCCCTAGAGTTGAATCTTTAATGTGGCAGGTTGTGCTTGGCAAGCTAGCTGTTAAATCCGAACTGATTAAAAGAGGGGTTCAAGGTATCGAGGATGATTTATGCCCTCTTTGTAAATTGGTTGAGGAAACTTCCACGCACTTATTCTTTACATGTTCGGTTGCATGGGATTTGTGGTACAAGTTTTATAATTTTTGGAGATTTAGTTTTGTGTTTCCTGTTGATGCAAAAACCTTTCTTACTGCTTGGGATGAGTTGAAATCAAATTCTTCTATTTGGACTTTCATTCCTGGGGCTATCATTTGGACCATTTGGAAGGCCAGAAATTTTATTGTCTTTGAAGGGGGAAAGCTTGATCAGTTAGAATTATTTTTCTTATCACGAGTTAGGTTGGCTTATTGGTTTCTAGCTAAGCACAAGGACGTTTCTATTCATAAGGATTCCTTGATTATGGATCCTTCATTAGCAGATTCCTACTCGCCCTACAGCTCTATGAAGTCTTCCTCATTCCCTTGGGGACCTCCCCCTTCTGGTTTTTTTAAATTGAATGTGGACGCAGCCGTTAGTAGTGACTGGAAGAAATCGGGTATAGGAGGTATTTGGAGGGATCATTCAGGTTCAGTCCTAGGTTCTTTTCAAGAGTCAGCTGGTCCGGGACCTCCGACTATGATCGAACTTAAAGCTATTCAGAGGGGTATTTCATTATATGCTTCTGCTCAAGGGAGGGTCAAAGATAGGCTGAATGTTGAGAGTGATAGCAGGGTTGCAGTAGACTGGATCAACAATGTCAATTCATGCCCAGTTGTTTATGCTTTCGTTGTTAGTGATATAGTTGACAATCTTAGATCTTTGGGGGGGGTTATAAATTGGGTTGCTAGGTCAGCTAATATGGACGCTGATGCTTTAGCAAAGGCTGGAATAGGCTAATTTTTATGTTGTTTGATGTTTCAGTTTAGCATTTGATTCCTGTTCGGGTGGGATTTATAGACTGTTGTAAGGTTTATTTCGAAGAGATTTATCGAGGTTGTAATCTTATTTTCTTTTATGAAAATCTAAGGCGCTCTTTTCCTCCTTCCAATGATTAATGAGCTTCTTTTCAAGATCCATTAATCAAGAAGGAGATTTTTAATGAGGCCTTCTAATCTTATCAAAAAAAAAATAAAGTAACATCCAAGATTAATTTAATCAATTAAAGTTTTATCATTAGGATTACATTAACTTCTTTTTAATCTTATCTTTTGTGTTCTTTTTAATAGTTATGTGATTAGGAATTAGGATAAGACTCTTAGCAAGAGTTTTAGTGTATAGGACCGTTACCGATTGTCTTAGGGTTAATGTAGACTTTACCCCTGAACTTGGCACTTGGTAACCTTTTTTTGGACCTAATCGGTACCTAAACTTGAAAATGGTTAAACCTTTTGGTACTTTCAGTTACTTCCATTAAATTTCTCATGACTGCTATTTTATTTCATTTTAATTCTTTTTTAACTTTAATGTCTTGTTCCTCTTGTCTCAAATCCCGATCATCCTAATGCCCATTCCACCAATCTCCAAGCATCTCACCGTGCGTCCGTGCCATCACCAGAACTCTTCAATCCCGCCATCTCCATTTGAGCTATCTTGCTCCATTGCTCAAGCCCTGACCCAGCACCTAACCCCTCTGATCCAGCACCACACTGGTCCTTCAGTTATTCACGCACCACCAAGCCGCTTCATCTGCCCTGATTGAAACCTTCAGCTGCACCAACCCATGCCTTTGATCTTTCTTTCAACATGATTAAAATAATAAAACCTGTCCTGATTGGATTTTCTGGTGAATAATACAAGGGTTTGCTGCTAAGTTTGCAAGCTCTTGATTTTCTAACAACATTTTTGGAAAAAACACAGGTTCATTGCTTTCTTTGCGATGGTTGCATTAGTTGAAACTTTTGGCTTTGAAAGGAAACAAGATTAATGGTGAAATAAAATTTACAAAAAATTGCAGATTTTAGATTTTCATCAATAATTTCTTAGCGAGGATTCCTTCATTTGGTGACTATCAAGCCATTTACCCTATTTACTCATTTCAATTCAATCTATAATGCTCACGAATGAACAAGGTTTTGTTTGAAATTACTTGGAATCAAATAAAGGCCACAAAAACTTGTTTGATGAAATTGCAGAAGAAAATTTTAACAAATTATTACGTACGTGTCTTAATTTTATTGGCGGTCACTGCCATGTCTTGAGAAACTTAACTGAAGCAATGGAAAGTATCAAAAGCTTTAACCATTTCCAAGTTTGGATACCAGTTTGCTCCCAAAAAAAAGAGTTGCAAGTATCAACTAGGTACCAAGTGCCAAGTTTAGGGAGTAAAGTGTATATTAACCCATCGTTTTATTATAAGAGAATTTTAATTAAGCTGGTTGCTGGAAAATCCCAGATCCTTTTTTCTTTATCCCAAATTTAATTAGGTTTTTCATCTTATTTCAATTTCTTAGCTGTTTAGAATTTTCCCTCCATCAAATTGGTAATCAGAGCCTCTATAGACCCCAAGGTTTAAAGGTTTACTTTTAAGCCATGGTTGGATGCGTTAGACCTCAATGTGGAGGAAATCGATATCCCGAAATGAAGTTGGTTGCGCTACAACGGGCGGCCGAAGAATTGTCTCGTGCGGTTTATTCTTGACTGCAACAGGAACAATTGGGAGCCCAAATGGAGATTCCAGAAGAAGCCCACAACCATTTTGACATACTGAAAAGTAGTCTTACTGGTGAGTCTGATTTTGGTTCCTTTCCTGATGTTGGACCTGCAAACCCTGCGGTACGGAGTGGGTTGGGTGAGCAATTAGTGGATGCCCTTGAATTAAACAAAGGTGGAATTACTGTTGGTAAGATGCATGTGGAGAAGCAGTATTATGATATGTTAGAACCGATCTATGATTAATATCTTAGGAAATTGAAGAAGTTGATGTGTATCTGGTTCAAGGAGAGTCTTTGATTGTTCATAGAGTGACGACAACCAAAACCCAAAAAAAAGGAGGATTGGAGGCAAGTCGGATTTCTCTTCAGTATCTCAAGGGACAAAACTTGCGGGCGATGATCATGGAGAAAAAAAAAAGTCGATTGAATTCCTACAATTGAAAAAATTCTACCAAGGGAAAATTTCAGTTGAACTCGAGAAAAAGCAAGAAAACTTGAAGAGTAGTAAGGATGTTAAGATGATGCAGTTTGTTGGAGAAAAACTAGCTGCAATCAACATAAAAAAATGTTGCTGAAAATCAAGTTCCCAGAGAAAGTCGATGGCTAGGGGTGAAATTCATGAAAGAAAAATGAGGACTCTTTGTTATTAATTTTGCATGATCTTCTTCGATTAAACCTATTCACTTCTATGAAGCTAATGGAGCTATTCTTGTTTTCCTCATAGGTTGGGATGATAGTTCTAAGTTCCTTTCCAAGATTAAAGTGATCAGCTTTCTTGGGAATATTAAACATAGAGTCGACATAGATGATAATGAAATTAAATAGGACTGTTAGTGATTGTAGAGGCTCTAAACTGTTTATGTTCCTCATACAGAGCTATACCAGTTGGTGCTGTCTCATATTCAGATATCGATGGGCACAGATTCAAGAGAGATGTTCTATTTACTTACGATCTAAAACTCCCAGAAAGTTTTGTACCAAATAATCAAGGTACGTGCATCGAAGCATGACTACCTTCTGTTGTAAACACGCTAGAAAAGAGTTCCAAATTTTCTTTAAATGCTAAATTGTTTGAGATTTTTATCCTTCGGAATTATCACCTATGATTGGAGTATTTCATAATACTCTTCAATTTTTCGGCAGATGGAGAAGTGGAAAGCTTCAAGTTGATCCCTGTGAAACAAGTTTCTAATATCATAAAAAGGACACAGTTTTTCAAGTCAAATTGCAGCATTGTCATAATCGATTTCCTGTTTCGTCATGGGTATTATCTCCTTTATTACATCTACAATTTCTATGCACAGTTGAGCGAAGGGCAATGTGTCTTCCGTTCGAAGACATTGATTTTTGTTGTCCCTAATTTTATTGCAGGTACATAACTCCAGAATGTTTTGGGTATTTGGATCTTCTACGAAGTTTGAAGAGCGGAGATTGCTCCTAAATGTGTACTTTCTTGTATAAGGTGTCTAAAATCAAAGCCATCTCTTAGTCTAAAATATACAAGGCGAATTATTATTCATCACTGAGGGAAATCATTATTAGACATATCCCGAGGAGTTGCAATTGTGAGGCTGATTCTCTAGCTAAACAGGGGATTGGATGAATATTATTAAGTGTCATAGAGGTTTTCTAGCAGGTTCTTGGTCTATTGAGGCTGAAGGGGTTGGGAAAGTTTTGTTATTGTTTAAGGAAGGTTTGGTCGTTTAGGGAGTTTTGTTTAAATATTCTGTAATTTTTATGGCTTTGACAGTGTGTCTTGGTTGTATTTTATGTAATGAGTCCTTGATCAATAAAATCCTAAGGCACTCTTTTCCTCCCTCCAATGATTAAGGAACTTTCCCAAGAATTCATTTAATCAAGAAGGGGGTTTTTAATGAGGCTTGTAATTTCTATCAAAAAAAATTATTCATCACTGAGCTGCTATATTCCACATTCATTGTTCATTTTTCTGCAGTTTTCTTGAGGTAGTCTGACAGGAGTAAGCTAACGTATCAACAAGCCAACAAAAGACATCTTTGCACGAGTAAAAGCACAAACCTCCGAACTAACCAGTTTTCAGGGATGGCAGATGACGGCTGCTACTGGGTCCAGGTGTACTAGCTTCATCATTAGGTGTGGATGTACGTGTTGCATTACTGCACAGATACTCAACAAGTGAGGTTTTGCTTCAGGTTTTAACTCGTATTACCATAAACTTTATAGCTCAGTGAGACAAAATATAATGAGCGAGGAAACGGAGAATGTTCAACTAGAATCTAAATGGAAACAAAAAGGGTAAAAGCATGCATTTTGAATTTAATAAGTACAATCAATTAAGCCAATGATGAATCATGTTCAAAGTGAATATTTATGTTGCTTAGATTCAAGTGTGAATGTTGGATAAGGATACTTAAAATTGTGAAAGAAATTTCACATATATAGAGAGATAATTAGCATACCATTCCAGGTCGGAATTCCTCAGATGAACTTGAGATTCTCCACTGTATCTAGTGGATGTCGTATCAACAGCAGGGCCACCATGACTTTCATGATACAGGGCCCCAAATTGCGTATCTGTTGCTCAAACATTCAAACTCAAATTGAATGAAGATTGTCTGATAAACTACAAGCTCTTTAATGGATCGTAATTTGCAATTGAAAAACTATTAGCAATGCCCTGACAATTCAATGTGTTCGTAGTTTACTTTTAAAATGATATCACTGCTGTGCACCCAATCCCTGTAGTTTACTTTTAAGCGACCTATTTGCTCCTCTTACTTACTTTACAGCCATCAAAAACCCAAATTAGAGTATTGAAAGACACCTAAACCTACATTCCGCCCATCTAAGCATCATGTATCGGCTAATTAATTTTGGCTAATAACTAAGAATAGAATCGCTTGGCAACTGTATGAGTGTTAGTATGGCCATAACTAATATGAATTGTGATAACTATTAATGCAACATCAAATGATAAGCAACCAAAATTTCATGAAACAGTTCAAGGGTGATATACCGGGAATAAGTATTGGAGAAGCATTAAAGTGTTGGCCACCCTGTGTTCCGGTGTATTGACGAGAACTAGTGGTGTTGCTTCCAATCTGCAGAGATTTGACTGTCTATCTAAGTGAGCGTTCACAAGGGAGATATACCACACTTGCTGGATAAGTATGTGATGCCATTCCTGCACCTATGGACCTGAGAGGTTCGGGAAAAAAAATCTAAAAGGATATTCAACGACATGCTTCACATAAGAACTATCCAAGAAACTAATTTACTTCTTGCTCTTTCTTGTGAAAATTGTAGATGAATCAGTATCTCCAGTTATTCCAAAGGCTTTGAAGGCATAAAAGAGCAACCGGTATGATTTCGAGGAATGAATGAGTCCAGAGCTTAGACTTACTGCTTGCCTTTAGTTGATAATGCTGTCCTCCCCAGGGACATTTTATAGTCGATGCTTGTAAACAAAAATGTCATGGAAACAAAACATCATCAATGAAACAAATCATAGAGTTAACAAGGCATGCTGGTTTATGCAATAGGGTGTCTATAACTTGCTGCCGCTTGTTATTTGCTGAAAATACTCGCTGAAATAGTTTCGGAATTTTGTTCCTTGGGTCATCGGCAATCTGAAAAAAAACCAAGCAACAAAATGGAGTCTAGCAAAATACCGGTTAAGGAGCACAAGCATTGTCCAAAGAATGATTTTATCAAGCATGTCAGCTTACTGCATGCTTTTCAGTGGTGGATTCACGGAGAGGTTTATATCTAACAGGCCCCCGGCCTTTCACTATTTTTGAAGAACTGCCATCACTGCCAGATTTAGAATGCAGTCTGGATTCTTTTTCTCTGTAACCACCACTGTTAGTATCATTCTTGTTGCGACCTTGATGATAGTAACTTGATGTCCTGGGTACCTAATATCCAATCAATAAAAAAAAGGTGTTATACTGGTGCTCTCAATACATATCTATAAAAGAAGAACCACCAAATGTGAAAAGAGTAAAAGCGTGCAGACTGAACTTGAAAGGCATTAAGTTCCTTTTTATGTGTTTCCTCTAGTGCCATCTCTTCAAACTTGTCATGCATCCACTTCAAATCATCCTTGGGCTTCCATATGAACTTTTTCCTGAAAGAATCAATACGATTAAGATGACGTGCTGAAACACATTATCATAACAAAAACAAGAAACTAGAAAGAACAATTTTAAAAAATAAAAGAAAAAGAGGAAAAGCGAAACGGTCTGGTATTAATTTTTTTTATTGTTTTCCTTGTTTATGCTTTCATCCCATGATTGTAGTTAGAGAAATGACATGGAGTATTTGGTGATCATGTCGCCTTGTCCTGCATTAGATTGATGGAATATTACTGTGTGTGAATTGTTCGTGAAGCATATTTGGTTGTGCTTAGGTTTGTTGTTATGACTACTGATATAGGTTGTATTGTATGAATATTGATATAAATTTTGCAAAATTAGGATGTCTGATAAATGTTATGATGATTGCTTGAATCTTCAGTCTTAACCTTTTGGGGAGTGTTTGTTCGGATACCCTTGCTTTTGAATTTTCATAATTGGAATATGATTTTTGCAGCATTTTGCTTATGCTAAATTGAGTTCGGTATCCTATAATTTGTAAAATATGGAGTGCATATACTTTCTCTATCACAGTGTTGCTATTTGCTAACTTGTCACCTCATCAGGGGCCTCAATATGTTTGCACAAACTTCTGGACATTTGTTTGCACCACCTGTAGTGGAATACAGTAAGTATTAAGGTTTATTTACTTTTTGGCTGCTGATTAGATTATATTTGAAACTTTAATGCCTTTCTAATTATAATTCATAGGTTTACTAAAACTGGCCCCTGGCTTTAATTGTTTCCAGCCGGGAATTCACACACAGAGTTAAATCAGTGTCAATGGCTAAGTTCACTTCTCAGGAAGTTGCTGCTTTTCAAGAAGGCGGAAACCAGGTAGAGATAAAATCCTCTCCCTTATTTTGAGTTCTGATGGTAAAAAGGAAAAAGAAAAGATTTGTTTCATGTGTGTAGTTTTCCTCTCATTCTGATGTTCCAGTTTCTCATTTCCCCCCTCATTCCTTTCACTTACATACAGCGTGCAAAAGAAATCTATTTTAAAGAATGGGATCCTCAGCGTGATTCTGCTCCTAACAGCAGGTTATCACTCAAATATCCAATTTTTATTTTGTACCTTTATTAGCTTCTATGTTTCTGAGTTAAAATTTTGTTACCAGCAATGTGGAGAGGCTTCGGGGATTCATTAAGCATGTCTACGTGGATAGAAGATACAGTGGTGAGAGAAACTATGGCAAGCCTCCTCGAGGAAAGATGGTAAGATTCAGTTTCCCATTCCTATCTTCCATAGATTGCCAATTTTTGAAGTTGAGTTACGATGTGACAAATGGTGACATTATAGGTTATGTCCCTACTTCCTTAAGAGGGAGTTTTAGATATCTTGATATTATTGAATCAGCAGCTGAAGAGCGCTGTGTAACGATTTTCTGAATTGTGCATTATGTAGGGTGACAAGGAAGACTTCTATGAGAAAAAGAGGATGGATGGATATCAGGGAGGGTCCAGAAGTCCACCAAATGAAGATACCTATGATCGCCTTTACAGTGATAGGTCCAGTTCAGGGGGAAGAAATGATGATAGAAATTCTAGATATGGTTATGATGAAAGGCAACGTCCTGGATATGATCGAGAAAGTCGACAATATGGTGATTACAGAAGAAGTCCTGCTCGCCCTGAGGTTGTCAACGATCGTATAGTTTCTGACGAAGATTCAAAGTTAGAAGGGAGGTCACCTGAGCGTCCAAAAGAGTCATCCAGTCCCCCAATAGTTCGTCCTGTTAGAGAAATTTTGGGTGAGAATGTGATACCCCTTCGTGTAAGTGAACCTCCAAAAGCAAACGGTGGCAGAACTGTTGATGGCCCTCAGACACAGGTAGTTTCTACTGTGTTATAGGAAACAATAGTTTAATGTTCTGATCTTGTTGTGGTTAATTTGCATGTTCACAAATCTTTTCTTTGTTTATTTCTGCTGATCTTCTCCAGTAATAGGCTTTTCCTCTTGCCTCACATAAAAGTAATTTATTTATGTCTTAGCATTATGCCCTCTGAAATTATTGAAAAAGCCTATTGTGTAGTATGATGTTTTTACCACAATTAACCACTTGACAAAGTTCTAATTCCTTTTAAATTTTACTTTTTTCTCCTTTCTATAATTTATTCGGAGTATTTATCCTACTTGTTGGACTTCATAATTCTCATCCTATCAGGAATCCATCTATGATTTCCTATTTTCATTAGTTGACAACCTTTTATTGGAACCACTTGGTAGCTTGTGCTGGACGTGACTTATGCTAGCTATAGTGATTGATATTTCGTTCTGCTAATGATGATAAATTACAATCAATTGATTATTATACCATGGTACATTTTTCTCTAACACTCTTGCAATGTTTAGCATTAGAATTTGTACCTTGAAGTTACATAAACAACTTTATACCAATAGATAAAAGCATAGCAGGTATGGTTTTGAGTAGATTGTAGCCGCGTAACTTAACTGTTAGAGTTTTATTTTCTATCTATACGTAATACTCTGCGTCTTATCAGCTGGCTGCATAAATAATGATGACTTTGTCTTGTACACTCATGCATCAGCCCAAGGCAACAAAGGAAAGGCAAACTATGGTGTGATCCATGCCAAAAATCTGGCAATATAAAGGAACAATGCTGCAAATTGCGTTGCAAACCAATTGATTGGAAACCAAATAGAACAAGGCAGACTAGGGACAACCACGCAAACTTTGCTGAGGTTCCAAACGAGAGTGGTAACAACAAGATCTTCAGGAAAGAACAAATTGAAGAACTTCAGAAAATATTTGGGAAACATGACTAGTGATCAATATACAAGCTTTATAGCTCATCAAGGTATTGTTTCTTCTTCACATACTGTGGATAACAACTACACTTCTACGACATGGATAGTAGACTCTGGAGCATCAAATCAAATGACATGTCATATCAATTTATTTCAGACCTTTCTATCACTAAAATCACCATCCAATGCTAAGACAATAGATGGATCTTTTTCAAAAGTTGAAGGGATTAACACCATTCAATTGACACAAAATCTCAATAATTCATGTGTTTTATATTCCTCACTTAGCATGCAATCTTCTATCTGTTAGCAAACTTTCCAAAGACCTACAACGTTACACTAAATTTAATTCCAATCTGTTTGAATTTTAGGCACTGAACTCAAGGAATGTGATTGGCAGTGCTATGGTGAACTCTACATACTCAAAGGGAAACCTCATATTCAAAGACAAATTCACTCAAGTTGTGCTTCTCGGTCTGTTTCTACATACCTTATTACTTCAAAGTTTCTTTCCAATGATATTATGTTATGGCATTTTAAAATAGGACATCCTAATTTACCCCAATAGAAATTACACACGATCTTTTTCAATTGTTCATTGTGACATTTGGGGAGACACATGAACATTCATAGATGATCACTCAAGGATAACATGAACATTCTTAGTGAGATATATCTGAAACTGATGAAATTTTTCAAAACTTTTACACTGTGGTAGAAATTAGTTTAGAAGTCATGTTCAAGTCTCTAAAATTGATAATGGGAGCGATTACTTTACACTAGGCTCCTATTTTAAAGAAAAAGGCATAGTTCATGTAAGCTCATGTGCTAATATTCAATGAAATGGGATAGCTAAAAGAAAAAAATACACTTACTAGAGGTAGTTAGATCCATAATGTTTTTCACGAGTGTTCCTAAACATTTTTTTGGGAAGAAACTGTTTTAGCTATTACATACCTTATGAATTGAATGCCTAGCAGAGTATTACACTTTAGAAGACCTTGTGATGTCCTTGTTCAACAGTTCCCACATTTCAAGTCCTTTTCTTCTGATCTCGCATTAAAAGTATTTGGTTGTTCATCATTTGTTCATGTTCACCAGCAATTTAGAACTAAACTTGATTTTAGATACATCAAATGTGTCTTTTTTGATTACTCATCTACTAAGAAGGGCTACAAACGTTACCCTCCCATAACTCAAAAAATGAATACTTCCATGGATGTTACCTTCCTTGAAAACAACCCTTATTTCTCTAACTCTGAAATTCAGAGGAAGCTTTGGATGAGTTTTACCATTAGAACAACCTTAAAACCATTCAACCCACACAAAAACCCTCCTATCCAAAAGAAACCCAAGACCACCAGCATTCAATACACACAAACACCTTTCCTTCCAAAAGAAACCTAGACCACCCAAACAAATCCAACCTCTCCGCAAAAAACACCACCTTCCAAAACTCCTCAAAATCCTACCACCCCAGACTCAACTTGAAAAACAAGAACTTCATTTCTATACAAGGAGGGAGCGACCTAACGAGAATCTAGAAAATACTAGAATATGTCAAGAATTGGAATTGAGTCCTACTGCCATAGAAATTGACACATGTATGGAGTCTTCATCTAGTGAAACCTATGTTCCATTTATTGATAATTCTATCCTTCTTATTACTTAGAGAAATGGGGTTAAAAAAATGCACAAGTCATCCTATTCAGAGGTACATTGCCTTTGGGAAATTAATGCTATGCCACCTAATAGAAATCAGATTTCAAAGACTATACAAGAAACAATGGAAAATTCAGAGTGGAAGAAAGTAGTGGAAGAAGAAATCAAGGCCCTAGAAAACAATAACATATGGGTTCTTACTGATCTACCTCCAGGATAGAAGACAGAGGATTGTAAACGGATATTTACAATTAAATATAATTCTGTCTATATAAGGCCCTAGAAAATTCCTATTGTATATTTTCTGTGATTCTGTCTATATAAGGCCTAACCTATGTAACCGATTTCTACGTGAGAAAATACATAGAATTCAATTTCTTCTCTGTTCCAAAAACCACCTTCTCTATTTCTACATTTTGTATGATTTCTTTGCAGTGGTTTTCTGGATTCTTTCACTTCTTTAGGTCTCTGTTCCTCACTCATACATGAATTCATGTACAATAGAATATAGATATAACAAGGGTGTCCACTGTCACCAAATGAATGAACATTCTTTTCTTATTTCATTTTTGCATGAAGAAACTGAATCGTCTTCCTGTAATTCCCCCCCCCCTTCATTTTTGTGCGGTTAAAAGGAAAAGGAAATGAACTTACTGTAGGATTTCTTCTAGCGGAGAACTTCTTCTTCTAGCAGCTTAGGATCTTCCGGTGGAAATCCAGTAGAAACCAAGTTGGACACAAATGTTAGCCTAATTGATTTTGATGCTGATCCTGAACCTCCAGTAGCTCCCACAGTTACTCAGATGCAACAAACTACCACAACGCAATCAACTGTGCAGCCCCCGGCTTCTACCAATGACAGCAACTGGGCCTCTTTTGATCTTCCCCCTCATACAAATGTTTCTCAGGCCCCTAATGTGAACAACCTGGATGCTGTCCTTTCTCAGTTGTCAGTTCCAGCATCTGTACCTGGAAACCTGTCTGGAGTATCTAGCAGTGTCGCTGGTCAAGTACCTGCTCCTGTGGCCAATGTGAATTTAGCACCTTCCATTGTTGCATTCACGGGGCAGATACAAACACTTCCCTTTGGTGCTGGTCCTCCCGCATCTGCACCAGTTAGCAATTTCTCAACATTGCCTCCTACTGATGCTCTGACAGCTGCTCCTGGATTAACGTCTACAATGCCTGTCAGCAGCGCTAGTTTCCAGCTTGGTGTTAACAATGCTGAACAATGGCCTAATATGCTGCACCAACAGACTCATTTTTTCTCATCAGCTGGCAGTCAGTCTAACAGCCAACAATTTGTGCCAATGGTTGATGAACCTTCGACCAATCAGGTGCTTATATTCTTTTGTTCTTATATATGTAGTATTTTATGGATAGTTGTCTCTTCATTCACCTAATTTAATCTCGTATTTTTGCAGACATGGAATTTTGCTTCATCCCAGCATATGCAGGGGACTTTTAGTGCATCAGTTTGACCAAATCCTCAAGCTGTCTCGAAACTTTTCCAGGATGTAACATATTCTGTTGCACCACAGCACCCCCCTACAAAAACAAAAGCAAGTGGAAGGCATGAACTAACTGCGGTAATTTCTTTTTAGACATTGGACATTGTGCATTGTGTATTGTGTAGTTTTTTGTTGTGAGATTATTGTGTTAGCCTCTTGTTCTTCGCAGGATCTATTTACTGCAACCTATCCTGCAGCTGCACCAGGATGGCAAACTGCTCCATCACGTAGCATGGGTTCCCCATACGACGTGATTCTGCAGTGGTACTGTTACATTTCTTGGAAAATAAGGTTCACAAGTTCATTCGTTCTTACTAAATTGCATGTCTCGTTATTTGATGAATGACCTGTAATTCTCCACACATTCTGTTGTTACAGCTAACATCTGCTTTTCCACAGTTATCAAGGTCGATAAACCCATTTGATCTTGGCGGTGAAGCACCTCGACCCCAAACTCAAACAGTATGTTATTTACTTTTTTTGAATTATTTCATTGCTTCTACCAGACTAACTTGGTCGCACTGGTGTTAAGGACTCTTTGATATGAAAGTTTTTAATTCTGGCATGCTTGTTTTGTGCGTTTGCATAGAAGTTAAGTGTTTTTGTGAAGTTTCAGTAATGGATAGATAGACAAACTGACAGACTTGGAACTTATCACATTTGCACATTTTTCTTCTATTATTTTGCAATCTTCTTTATACCATGTTGCTTGCGGTGCAGTCCTTTTCAATGACTTCCTTACAAGGTGCCTTACCAAATGCACCTCCTCATTCTGGCCTACTGCGCACTTCAAGCCTTGGTACTTCATCATCAACATGGATGCCACCTCAATCTTTACCATACACACCAAGGATGCCATCAGAATCACCGCCTAATTCATCAGCATTGCCACCAAGTAAACCATTTTAATTACCCCTTCTCTTTGTTTTTTACTTCATTTTCTACTTTAAAATGTGCTGAATTCTGAATAAAATAACTATACAGGGACATACTCAGGAGCTCAATTACCTAGTATCTTGCAACCGTCCGGGTAAATCTTTTTTCGCTTCTTTTAGAATTACTAATTTTTAGTTTGGGATACAAAGGGCATCTTGGGGATAAAAGAAAACCGAGATTTATATTCTAGACTTGCTAGATGCAACCTCTCAATAATGGTTTTATGGACCGAGTAGGATTAACTTTTTACCATTGGTTGCTTTGCAGCCGTCAGGTTGGAGTCATTGGCAGTGAGGCATCGTATGGTTTTATAAATACTGGTAGATTCCCAGCACCTGCTACCCCACAGCCTTCCTCTTCTGTTGGTGAGGGAAACCCATTTGGCTGGATAGAAAAAGAAAACAACCTGGACCCATTTCCGCTTAAGCATCTTTGTTAGATTTGATGGTTGTAAAGTTTTGAACGGTCGGATTCCGAACCCTGTAATAGATTTTCTGTCGTTCTGTTTCCAGGTTTAAGAATCAACTGATGATATCAACAATGGTCGTATAGAAAATTAGTCTGATGCTTTTACAGAGAGAAAAGGGTACTACAGATATGGAGTAGACCCAACGAGTCGCCTGTACCGTGTCCTCTCAAGCATGATCATATTTTATTTTGACACAAAGAATGTGTTTTATAGAATTTGATAATGTTTGTGTATGCCCTTCATCCGAGTGATATGAGTATTCCCTTGGACAATTTGTATTATTTTTTGCTTGAAGAATCAGCAATTGTTATGCCATTAGTCTTTTAGTCCTCGTCCACTAATAAGATCCTAATTACATTACAATTTTTTTTTTTAATTTTCAAGTATATCGACACATTATAAAAATCATTCAAATCTGAACAGATTCCAGATTCCACACGTGATGGAATTTAATTAAGTTTAATGTTTTACATAGCAAAAAAGAAGTTAAATTATAAAGCGTGAATCAATTACTCAAAATGATCTCATTAATAACTAGTTATAATTGGAAACTGAATTTGAATAATTACTTCGAAATATATTTTAGCGAGGCGGGTGTAAGCTTGAAATTACAACTGGAATCAGATAAAGTTGAGTTTGAAATGTAAGATACAAGGTGGCAGTCACTCGACTAGGCTTCCAAGTACCGACCACCACTTCAGGACACCGTCCTCCCATAGCAAATGGATGAAATATACAGATTTTTCAACCACTTATCCTACAAAATAAAAGAAAACAAGAATCGTTAGCCACTAAATTCTCATCATGAGTTTAATCCCTAATTTGACATAATTCGATACTTCTATAATGTTATTAATATAATATGTCTAAATTTATAACACTATTAATTGTTGCTATTAAAGTAATGACGGGAAATTTCTCCTTTTACTGTTATTCGGTGGCAGTCCATGTTCATCCAATAAAAAATTTAATTGTTAGTCAAATGCCTAGTGTTGTTCTAAAAAACTTTTAACAACTAATAGTGTTGTCCATTTGGTTCTAATAATAACATTGTATTGTAGAAGCAGGACCAAATTATGCCAAATTAAAGTAAAAAGGATTAAATATCAAATTTCAGCATAGTAGTGAATAAAACCATAACTAGACCAAATCATGCAAAATTATATTACCTTTACTTGAGTACTGGGAAAAGCAGATGTACGCAAAGTTTCTTGCATTACATCTTGTGATTTTCTCTTAGGTGTACTAAGTATGAATGCGGCTTGATCCTCCGTAGCTGCCGCTGATGTAATCCGATACCCCTTTTCCCATCTTCGATGAATCCCCTCACTCGGATAAAGGAAATCGAGTTCAACAACCTAGCAAACAAGTACAAGACAAATAAGTGGTTGCCACAGTGTTATGCAATTGTGTATTATTACACCGGAATTGGACAACCTGAAGAGGATAGCCTGCATTTCGGGACATGACAATGGCCCATTTGTTGCTTGCAGCAGTCATTGAGGTCACAGAAAAGCCTTCTTTCCACTTCTTATTAATCCATTTGAAGGGAAACACATCAGTAACTTTGTATGACTGTTGCGTGTAGGGAGTACCTATAGTAGCGACAAGGAGAAATGCAATATCAGCCTTACCATCATGGAGATTTGATTGATAAAACATGATAATCACGCCTACTTTTCCTAATCTTGAAGCTTAGCTTGAGTTGAGCTGCAATACTACGTCAGTAGCCAGAATTTGCAGGCCCACAGTCCCATCAGTTTGACATACATTGACACAGTAAACATACAAACTTAAAACTTATGAAGCTAGTCACCCTTCGGAAAATTGATACGGCTAAAATAATTACTTGAAAATTAGGGAAAACATGAATCTCGAAAAAGCTTTGATTACCCTTTGACATAACAACCAGTGCACTGCCATTGCACGCACCAGCAACTGAAGTGATGTAGTAATTCTTCTCCCACTGTTCCATTATCCACTCCTAAACATATAAACCGTAAGGATAAACTTCCCGAGACTCCACTGATTAAAATCAAGAAACAAAAAACCTAACTGAATAGTTATTTCTACCTTGTGCAAAAAGATTGGCGATAACTCGTAAACTTGAGATGTAAACCCTGAACCAGCATCCATAACAATGGCCCACAGATTCGATGATGACGCTACACTGCTAATATACAAGCCATCTTCCTTTCCCTTCTCCACATGCTGGTTGAGTCTTGAATCCATAACATTGAAATGATATCTGCAATAAGTACCGTGAGTCAAAATTTACATTTTCCATCTGTGAAACATAAGACCACCAGAATATATGGTATGATCAGCTTATACTTAATACATCTTTGGTTTTGAAAAGAACTTTTACCTCTGCTTCATCGAAATTCTGGAATTATAGACTGAGATCCACTGAGAAGCAGGAGAACCTAGCCGAACTTTCTTTTTAAGCTGCTCACCATCTTCCAACTCGGGAAATGATCTTTCCCTTTTTTGACCCACCTGATGCATTAAAGATTTATCAAGAAATTCTAAATAATATATATTTAAGAAAAGTTAGTGGCACAAGACAAGATAAATGCCAGGTAACAACCTTAATAGCTCCATCAATTTGGATAGGATGTATTGATGAGTTGAAGTCAATGCTGCTACGAAAAAGGGAGATAAGCTTTGAATAATTGGGTTCTTCATCAAATTTCATATTGGTGACAACCTCAAGTAACTGTTGAAATGGAGGAGGACACAAGGAACAAAGCATCCCAGGAGAAGTTCCCATCTTCTTCTTACAAACAAGAAATCCTTTGTTCTCCCCCTGTGCAACCCCATAAAACATTAAAGCCCAAGGAATTAATGGCAGAAAACAATAATTAAGCTACAAAGTTCCGAAATAAGGTGATGCAGTTAAAAAAACTTACAACGTAACCTTGCCAGGGAAGCTTCCCTCTAAGTAGAAATATGAGTGTATAAGCCAATGACTCAAGGTCATCCCTTCGACTTCCTGTCCTACCCAAATGAGCATGTACACTTGCATAACGAACAGTTCCCCTAAAATGGGAAACATAATAATAAATCCAAATTGGAAATCTGAAGATTCAAATGTGCCTTCCTTGAGTCTGAAGAAAGAACAGGCAACTAGGCAGGGAAAATTATCATAGCTTCTTAATAATAAAGTCTATGAACACGCAACTCTTATGTAAATAATAAAAAAATAAACAAAAACCTATACCGACAAATGTCCATGTTCATGACCTAAAAGAAGCAGTCTTACTTGCTTAGAGTCAATTACCTAAACACATCAGGCTTTTGGTCGTAATCAACATGACGTGCAGATGCTGCCTCCTTCCATCTTGAAGCTGAAAAGGATCAAGAATTATGGGTAATGCCACAATATACGATTAAAACAGTATAGCATCTCCAGTATAAGGAGCAGAAAGCAGCTATACCCAAACCAAGATCAACTAGATACAAGTTCTTTTCATTCGAGGTCCCAGGCTGGCCAAGCAAAAAGTTCTCAGGCTTAACATCCCCATGTACAAAGCTGAAGTAGAGACGAAGAAATGTGGAAAATATACAACAAGAAGTCAAAGAAGTGAGGGAAAAAAATTCAATGCAACGATTTTGAAGTACCCTTTCTGATGAAGCTGCTCAAGAATTGATATTGCCTCCACTGCTATACAAGCAACCATCTCTTCTGTCAGTCTATACCAAGAGAAGGAACAATAAGATATTATAGCAACAAAGTATCATGTACAAAATTGAAAGCGTATAATTTTAGGAAAACTTAGTATAATGTTAAAAGAAAGAGGAGAAAGAAAGAAAAATAGTTTCATACATATGATTGTTTGAGTTCCAAACATCCCATAAACTTGGACCTAGCATATCCATGACCTAGATTCACAAGTTTCAAAGAAACATCAATAAAGATATTTTTTGTTCTAAAATACAGCAGTAGGTTTGAAATTCTTGATTGAGAAACTCACAAGGATGTAGTAGCCTCCTAGTTGACCCTTGTAATGAACCATGGGAAGTCCATAACAACCATTAAGAGTGCTGAATGGTAATTTTGAGACAGGAAACAAATTAGGTCATAAAATTTAAGTTCAACTGACTGCAACAATGAAATCCTCCATACCTGTAAGCTTGCCATTCATAAGGAGGACCAGAACTACATCCTTTACCATTTCGATGCTCAAGTTTCAAAGCAACCTGCAAAATGAAGCAGGATAATTGCATTAACACCATAGTCAACTTCAGGTGAATTTTCTTCAGGTTAACTAGAGTGTAAGTGAAATGAGGTAACTAGAGTGTAAGTGAAATGAAACCTCAAAGGCATCAGGTCCACTGCGCCCTGTGCCACCTGAAATCCTTTTTCCAACATAAACCTGCCCGAAACCACCTTTACCAAGTTTTCTGTCTAACTTGTACACAGGAGAGTTCCCTAGCTGTACCTGCCAAAGGATAAGCAAATGGAACTTCAGTACAAATCGCTTGAAAGGTTTGGCACATGAAATTTGGAGATGCAAAATTGTGTAAGTGATCAGATTGGACCATATATAACATTTATGAAACCATGCATAGCCAGAAAGAAAGTGCCTCTTTTTTTCTTTTTTGATATGGAGAACTGGGTATGGTCCTGTGTGGTTATTTACCCTCAACAGTTTGAGTATGAAATAACAATCCACTAACACAAGACATTTCCATTATAATGGAACGACTAACTAATGACCTCAGGAGGCAGATTAATAAAAGAAGAAGTTAGTACCCTTTCAGGAAGTGAACTAGTGCTTCCTTCTTCCTCAACAGCAACCAATCTTTCTGCACTTTTTTCAACAACCTGCCTCACAGGCAAGTTTATTCCTGTACAACCCCTGCCACGGGCACCAGAACCAACAAGCTTGAAATTATCATCAGGATTCATTCCTCTACGCCCTCTGCCTCTACCTCTGCCTCTGCCTCTACTAGCTGATCATGGATTCATAACACACAAGGAAACAGAGTATAAAGCATAAAAAAATATAGATAAAACTTAAAAAGAGTTGTTACCAGCACCATTCTGAACCGTTGGAACTAAGGAAGCAGGGATCTCTGGGTTGTCATTGGTCCTTTTCGATTGACGAATTCCTCTCCTCAAATCTGCCATTCTTTCCCATGCAAAAAGGAAACCCCCTCCTACCAAATCATAATTCATGTAATTTTATCTAATCATCAATATACTATTTTCTTCATCAACTCACCCCTTAGCAAATCTCTAAATCTCCAACCAAAGTATACCATAACCACAAAATACAAATAACATTTATTTAAATGGATAACCATTTGGTTTAGCCAAAAAAATCCTACAAAACTCAGAATTCATAACATATAAAAAGTTGATCATTTCGATTTCATTGCAACCTCAAAAATTCTAGTTCATCAACCATATATCAGAAATTTATACCTCAAGTTCCAAGTAACCATATGATAACTGCATGCTTATTACATAAAAAAAACTAAGAGTAAACCATCATCTAAGTAAAATACACTGAATCACCATCCAAGCTGCAAAATCAACACTATGATCATCATTAAAGAAAATCAGTAAAAACACCATCAATCTTTAGCTTAGACAAAAACCCAAATACTGAAAACTGAATCTTAATCAACTTCAAACATAAAAAAATACCATTCAAAAACCGAACGATAATATGTTATTGTATAATACTTTAAAAGTTTACCAATCGGTTTTCCTTTATTCTTCTTCTTCAAAAAAAAAAAGTTCAAATCTTTAAAAAATTCCAGCTCTAAACAAAACCCTGGTCAAACAAACATCAATTTGGGTACTAAACAATCAAACGATAGACCAAAATCTGACCCCAAATCAATAATTAAAGAAAAATAACAATTCTCTAATTAAAAAAATGCATCAAAATCAGTAACCAAAAACCGATTGCTATAAAACAATGCACCAAGAAAATACAAAAAAATATATATATACCCAAATCGATTTGCCTCTTTTTACTGGGTTTATCTTTTCTTATTGCTTGTGTTTCCAACAAAGCCAAAATACAAACAGATAAACCGAGGGGTATAATAATATATAGCTTTTTATTAGAGGAAGAAGAAATTGAAATTACCCAAACTGTGATTGGTTTGGTGCCTCTTAAACCAAAAATCAAGTGTTAAATGTGAAAATTAAAGCGATTGTAACGTAAATAATAAAGGTAAAAATACCTACTTCCTATTTCAATTTTGAAATTAGACAGCTATACTCGTAGTCTTGTAAAGAGAATTTACTCATAGTCAAATTTTTATAATTTTGGTTAATATAATAATAAATTTAATCATTAATATTTAGTATTTTACTAATTTAATCTTAATTTTATAAAATATAATTTACACCTTATGTAAGTATCAAAAGTGAAATTTATTGAATATTTTAAAATTAAAATTAAATTAAATTAATATATAAATGTTGAATATTAAATTTATTATCATGTTAATCAAAATCATATAGAACTAATATTAAATATTAATATTATGATATTGTTATTAATGGCTAAATTGCAAAATGTATAAGATCAAATTTTATTTTTAAATTTATTTATTTATTCAATTTAAAAATTAAAATAATTTAAAAATGTATTTATTAAAAAATTTGAAAAATAATTGAGATTTTAAAATCAAGAAGAAAAAGAAAGGCAAAATACATAGGATAGGTTGAGGCTTTCATCCATTATTTTTTTCATTCATTATCATCTAATACAAATTTGATTACTATTCATAAATATGTTCAATACAATTTATTAGTGGATTTTTCATATTTGTATAAAAATTATTAATGTATAAAATAATAGATTGGATTTCAACCTGTAGAGCAATAGCACATTGACACTTTAAATGAAATTTATTTTTCGTTAAAAGTAATTAAAAGTATCTACGATTCTATTAGTGTGGAATCAAGATATACAACTTGATCCTTTCTCTTCCCCTCCCATCATTAAAATTTTGAGGAAGAAACTTTATTATCGAGAAATCAAATGGAATTCTAAACTATAAGTTTTTTTTCAAGAAAAATGAATAAAGTTTAATGAGTAAATTGATTTTTTTAAAATTTTAAAAGAAAAACGTCCAGTCATAATATTGTTAAATATTTAACGTTAAAAAAATTAAATATGAATAAAATGAAAGTTTAATGAGTAAATTGAAATTTTAAAATTTTAATGACTAAAATAGGAGTGAGAAGAGAGTTGAGCAATGAAATATATAATTTATTTTTATTTATAACTTATTTAATAATAATTATTATTATTAGCACTGAAATTAAATATCATAATTAGTAGGGTGAAGTACACAAATGGTCCCTTGACTATAGAATGTTGAATCGTTCGACTATTAAAAGTTACAAAATGATCCGCGATTATAAGGCGTTGCTTTGTTAAGTCTCCGACTATTAAAATGTACAAAATGACTATCTGACTATTCATTATATTCTAAATTTTTCATTTTTGGTTAAAAAAATTGATGGTAATATGAGCTAGACATTAACTTGTTGATTGAGATATGATAAAATTTGATCACATAATCTCAAACGACTATCATATCTTAATCAACATATTAACGTCCAACTCAAACGATCGTTAGATTTTAAATGGAAGAAGACAAGTTTAGAACATAATAAATAGTCGGGTGACCATTTTGTAATTTTTAATTGTCAATGAATTCAACAAAGCAAAACATTATAGTCAGAAAATCATTTTGTAACTTTTAATAGTCAATGAACTAAACAAAATAATTTTTTGTCGAACCATTTATGTATTTTATCATATTTTTATATTTAAACTTGTAAAAAGTTAAATTTTATATTTTAAAATATAATATAAAACATTCAACTTTGTAAGAATTTAAATCCAAACCTATTAAAATTTTAGATCAAAATTTAAATCACTTTATAAACATATATTTTAATCTTATTAGATAAAATCAAATTCAAATATCTATTTCAAATTTACAATAAAGAATAATTTTACGTCTAAATCCATAATATAGAGATGTTTGAATATTCAATTCAACTTACCATCAATATTTTCATCTTTTTAAATGTATTGTGTTGAATATTATCGGGTCTGGTTTATTAGGCCATGTTTGTGGACAAGTGGGCGTATGAAGAGCTGACGCTTTTGGTCTCGAAGCTTTGAAGATGAAAAAGCTAGATCTGTCTGGAATCAATCAAAAGAGAAAAGAAAAACTGCTTTATGTCCAATAATTTTCTTGCCCACCTCACCTTATACCTTTCTTTCTCATATATCATCTCACTGCAACAAAGCTCCTTTGCTTTATAAAATTTGATGCGTAACCGTTCCTTCCGTCGGAATACGTGGCTGGGCGGTGCGAGGCAGATGGTTACTTTTGCAAGCATCAATGTTTGCCTCCGCCTGTCATGCACCAAGAATTGCGGTGGTCAGAGATGACAGCGGTGGAGGTGGTTCGATGATAAAGCAATGTCTATGTTCGCCAGCAAAGCACCCGGGGTCATTTCGGTGTCGGCGGCAGATTGCGGAATATGCGTGGGGTGCTCAATTTATGGGCAAGAAATGACCGCACCACTAAAAGCAAAATATTCAAAACAGAATATTATATATCTCAAAAGACTAGTGAAGCTTGAAACTAAGAAAGCATGAAACCAGGCCACCAACCAGGGTCCAAAATGGATTACTATAACATTTCATTCAACCTACCTAACAGCATAACCAAATTGTACCACCACCTTCCCAAAATTCAAATGGAAAAAAATTGAACAAGGTTGGTGTTTTCACCCTTCAAAAACTTACCATTGTTTCTCAGGATTGTTTTTCGGGGGTTTCGGGTTCTTCCTCTTCGAGATCTTCCTCTTCTTCTTCTTCTTCTTTCTTTTCTTCTTCTTCTTCTTCTTCTTTCTTTTCTTCTTCTTCTTCGTCTTCTTCAGGGGGATCATATGGCATTGGTGGTGGTAATGGTGTTTTCATGGGGCTGAATTGGGGGAAAATGTCGTCCTGCAATGTAACCACGGAGTTCATATTTAAACATATTGCTTTAGATAGGCCTACACATACAGTAAACCTACAGATGTATTTGAATTTGTATTCAACCGATGAATTACATCAATCAATTAATGTCATTGCATAAAAATGCTAAGGTAGCATTATAGATAAATATTAAATTATCATGTATCAAGTAAAATTGTTCTTTTCGAAATGCTGGTCTGGCATTCGCCTAGCACGTGAAAATTTAATATTGATTAAGTTAGTGGCATAAAAAAGAACTCATTTGCATGATGAAAATTAAATAAGGTATACAACTATGAAAATTTAAATTATGAGATTTAGAGGGTATATTCAAGCCAAGCTCAAAATCTAAGAAGCTTGAGCTCGATTCAAAATTTTGAAACATAAAAGCTTAGCTCAAACTTGATCAGTTTTTATTTTTAAAGATTGAACTCTGTTTGAGATTAAAAAAAATGGAGCTATCAAGCTTACATACATGACTATTCAAAGCATTATGATATTTGAATTCAGCTAATTCGATAGGACAAGTAACCAAGGAGAATTCAATTTCTTTTCGATTTGGACTACTTGTTGCAAACAAATAACCTAGTACTTGTCAAAGAAAACTGTTCCTTACTTTCTTGAATGATTGAAATTACCGAATTTTCTAACCAGTACCAATTAACCAAACAACATTTTCCAACAGAGTATTGCTGCATAAAATATTAGGAATTCACTAGACTACCGAGTACCGAGAACTTGAAATCTCCGTCGCCTATTAGCAAACAACCGAATAATACTTAAAGCTCAATGAGAGAAAAAAGGGAAAAGGATCTTACGATGGGGAAATCAAGGGGATTGCGGCGAGTCAATTTCTCTTCCTCCGGAGCCATAGAAACCACCTGCTGCCTCTTTCTCCTCGTCGGTATATGGCCGTTAGAAACGGAGACTGCCAAGGAGCATATGCAACCGCGGTTAGTGGAAGTGAAGGGCGGCGTTAGGGTTTTAGAAGTCCGCGATAAGGATAGGCAAATGGATGATGCCATTGTTGGATACTGGTTAGTGGTTAATCCAGATACTAGGCGATACCAACAGCGTTTTTCTCCGACTGGTGCTCGTGCTCGCGTCGGACGGCCTCCACTCACCCCTAATCACCAATGGCCACAATCCTAATATCTGGTGGCCCAGCTTTAAAAGTCATTCGACGTTCATCGAGTTCGGTTTGTTTTTATTTAAAATTAAATATATTGTACTGATTTCTTTGATTAAAATTTTGTTATTACTCTTTAAGATTTTAAGTTTGAACACTATGTATATAACGATATGAATATTTAATATTAAATGGATGAAAAATTTTAAATATATATAATTTTGTATTCATTTCGTACTAATAAAAAATTATATATTTTTTTATTTTTTTATTAAAATTAACTTGTAAAAGTTGTTATTTTGGTGGTCTCATCGGTTAAATTGGTAAAATAAAATTAAAAATTATTTTAATTTTTTTAATAGTCTGAAATGATTGTTATGATTGTATTTGCTAATAATATATCTTAATATTAATAACAAACGTCTGATTGTTGCAGTTGATCTAACTTAAGATCTCTAAAGAAAATAATACTCCCTCTAACAACTAAGGTCACTTGATAGGTTCAAAAATTATTTAAATTGTTATAAATATTAAAATTTGAAAATTGAAATAGAAATATGGTAATTGAACCGGTTGAATCAGATTTTAATGTTTTTGTTATCTTTGTAATTTTTTTATTTAATTATTTTTGAATAAGTGATTCAATTAATTTAACTAAGAAATCGATAGTTTGGTTGATTTAATTATCAAATTAATTTTTATAACATTTTTCTCAGATAATAAAGTAAAAATTATAATTATTTGAATCAAGCCAATTTTCTTATTTAATTTTATTTTTTCCAAATTAAATATAAACATTTTTTTGAATTGAACATAACAATTTATTTATTTATTTGAGATTGGAAAGAATGAAATTATTTAAGATCAACTTAAGAATTAATGTCAATTAACACGCTTGGTAGGCATAAATAACATATTTTTATATTATTAAAAAGCTTATAAATCTTATAAAATGGTGCTTTATAATACTTGAAAAAAGTTATATGAGTTTTGATAGATAAATTTGGATCGATTCCATTAATTATGTTTTTTTTAATTTAATTTTGGTTTTATGTTTAAAAACTAAAATACTCATATTAATTAATTACAAAACGCTTCCTTAATTTACAACCACAAAAAGAGTAATTATAGTTTTTGTTCTTACATTAATTTTACATAATTTAGTTTCGATATTCTTATAATATTACCAGTAGACTACAAGTGATTGATCAATTAACATGGCTTGTTTTAATCTGTCAAATGATCTCTCTAGTTAAAAAGAGTGTTGTTCTCCTTCATCGACGGAACATGACAGAGATCAAGAGGAGCCTGTGTCCTGCCAAATGTTTTTTTATATATACTAATTACTATTATTTTTTAAAAGAAAAATAGATGCAATAAGTTTTAATGGTCCCCTCCAATTGAAATATATATATTTTATTTATTAATTAGTAAATATTAATTAAGTTTAGATATAGTGTTATTTGTTGAAAACAAAAAAAGTATAAAAATAACTTTTTTACATTAAAAATAATATAATTAATTAGGTATGTATTTTTTTGAAGTTTTTTTATAAACATTATACTCCTTATTTCTTTTATTTTTTAACCTTTGATGACTCATACGAACATATGTTTCTAAATTTTAATGTTGGTTTTATAATAGTTCGACTTAATTTTTTTCAATTTTATTTCCCCCCCCCTTTAGTACGTTCCTGGTTCTGCCCTTGTTCTCCTTAAAGGTTCTGAATTCAAGTAGTTGTATTTGCAGGGTGTATGTGCATTGTTAATGACTAAGAAAGTTTAGGAACATATACTACATTGTAATTACCTTAAACTATTAAAAAATTAACACGAGTTGTTTCAATATATTCAAGGTATTGGATTTAAAAAATTTGGTTCAACAAAGCAATTCCTAATAGTCAAGGGATCATTTTGTAACTTTTGGTAGCCGGAACTCAACAAAGTAGTATCATATAGTCAAGGGACCATTTGTGTACTTTACCCAACTATAATTTGACAAATATAACATAAACATAAGTTGGGTAAAACTCACTAGTAATCACTAAACTTTTAGGGAACTTTCACTTTAATTATCAATCTTTTAAAAGTTGCACTACAATCACTAAACTTTTAAGTTTAATTACGATCATTGTTGTTAGTTGCCATTACGAAATGTTGATGTGACATGTTAAAGTATTCTTCCTAAAGAATCATAATTTTCCAAAATAGAATATGTCACAAAGGTTGATTTTTAGATGAACAGAACGATCACTGGTCAATTCCAATGGTAGGAGGCTTAATCTTGTAAGAAAAACAACATAGTTTAATTTCAAGTTGATCCAACAAGTAATCTGAGAGATCGGAAAGTTTTAACTTTTAAATTTTTCAAAATATCACCTCATTTCATTGTTGTTTTTATCGCCGTTAGATGGTTTAGTTGATGGATAAGATCATCCAACTATTCTTCCTCTTCTACTCTTTCTTTATTTTGATTCAAAATTATTGAAAAACTTTTCAATCTTCTTAAACATCAATCAAAACTAAAAAATAAATTTTTTTAATATGCTACCATCAATTATCATATTAACTTAAAATAAAATTATGTTAATCTTCTAGTCAAATAGATCATTTCTACTGTTAGGATTAATTGACTACCGCTTGGTTCATTGGAAAAATAGCCTTTGTGACGGTTGCAAATTTAGAACCTCAAGGTTTATTTTGAAGGAATACTATATAACATGTCACGTCAATATTTTTTTAACGATAGACGACAATAAGTGTTATGAAAACAATTCAAAATTTTAATGATTATAATATTAATTTTTAATTATTAAAATAAAATTATTTTAAAAGTCAAGTAATTAATTACCTGTATAATTTACCCAAATAAAAGAATAAATATATCATTCTCCCCCTATCAAGGGGGAAAAGGGTTAATAATACAATTGATAATTAATGATGTTTAATGGTTAAAGTCTTAATTTAAGATGGATCTGCCCCTTAAGTAATCATAACGTCATCGTACTCATTTATCGTGCTTCTTAAGCATCTATGAAACATAATAATCCAAGTAAAGATTAAGATGGTGTTAATAAGGTGGCGTAGAAATAAAACAGGGTGAGCATTTAATATCGTAGTCCCGCGATACACACGGAATAATCCCATGTCAGTTTACGACGTGAGTGCACAACAAGAGGACCCCACTTTGACATTTTACTTACCTACTCATTCCCCCTACGGAACAAACCTCCTTTGACTTTGCCAACTCCACTCCCTGCTGTAGCTACGCCACGCGCTGCTGCTCCGCCATTCCTGGCTTTTTTACATTTCTAGTTATAGTCATTGATTTCTTTATACAAAATATATATTTTCATCATATATATTATCGATGTTTTATATTATGATCAATAAGACATTAATATCTATTAGTTTGATTATGTGACATATTTGGTAAAATGATTAATTTTTAATTTCACCTCTAAGCTTTAGATAAAATATCAATTGGAACCATAAATCTAGTCAAACTCTATTATCATCGATCACTATTAGTTGTCATTAGTCGTTGATGATCTTTAAACGATAAAATTCACAATTCACTCATTTTTGATATCTTAAACGTGAATATGATGCTTATTTCACATAAAAATGTCTTGAACTCCACAAATTTAACTTATAATCCTTCGATTTTCTTTAAAATTAAATTATAATAATAAATTTATCATTCACATTCCTTTAAAAATAAAGGCACCATAAATCTAAATCTATATCATAATCAAATCTATAATTTTTTAATACTATTGTTATGCTATAATTAACAAATTATAATTACAAAGTCGACTCAAAAATTCTTGGGCCCTGGATAAAAACTTAAAAATGAGTCCTTATAGAATAAAAGTATATTATATTACTTTAAAATATTAATTTATTATTTTATTAATAACCATAAAAATATAATTAAACTTTATCAAATACATCATTTTCATTATTTTATTAAAAACCTAAAATACAAATTAAATAATAAAAGAAATCACTACTTTATAATTTTATCAAACATATTATTTTATGAAGATAGAAGATGAGACCGTGAATGGAAGGAAGTTCATGGTGCTCCCCCTAATGAACCAGCTCTCTTAATGGATAGATCATATATCTATATCTATTTTATCATCAAATCTAAATTTTATAGTTTTCTTTTAAGCTCGTTGAAGTTTGCTGTGCAGGAAGCTGTAGCTCACGTATCAAGTTTTCTTTTTTCGAGTTCTATAATAAGTAGAGAGTAATATACGTAGACTCCGCCCACTCGTCCTTCTGACCTTTTTCTTTCACACGCGCCGCTCTTTCTCGAGAAACGCCATCGTCATTCCAAAAACAGCACGAAAACAAATTATATATAATAATATCTTCTTTTGCATTCAATTTGTCAAATATAGTTCTTGAAGTTTTGAACTTGTAAAAAGATTAAATAAAAAGGGGACAACGATATTATACCAACCCCACGTATATATTTTCCCATTTTCTTGTTTTGACTGTAAAAGATTCTTGCAGCGCCGCGACAGAATGAGCTTGGTAGGGAGAAGGCCCGGAAAATCTAAATCGACGGCGCACCATCAACGGCAGCACTCCGATAACTTCCTCGGCGCTTCGTTTAACAGCAAATGTCTTCAGTCCTCCGATTTGCTTTCTTCTCAGGTCTTCAATCTTTCCATTTTCTTTCGCGTTCACAATTAGCATTTCGTATAATGGCGTTGTTCATTATTTTTTATTTTTCTGTCTGGATAGGAGTTCGAGTTTAATAAAGGGAAACGGATGATTAACAAGTCGCCGGAGCGGGGGACTCAGCCTTTTTCTTCCAGATCGTTGAGTTTAAGGATGACCGGTGATAAATACGCGTCGTACAGTGAGCTCAGCCCCGGTTTACTGGATTTGTATTCATTTGATACTGAGCTACTTTCCGAGGTTTTACTATTTTCTTCGATTAGATTACCAGCTTTTGTTAATCCGTCGCT